GCTACAGAATCACTGTTTTGTTCAAGACCACGTAATAGTCAACTAAACATATGCAAGTTCTAACCTAATAGTAACTCTCAACAAAATTTAATCAATTGAAATTACACAGAATAAGCTCTTTAATGACAAAATTAAACTATAAATCAATAATAAAAAGATACTAGAAAATTCCCATGCATTTGGATTTGTATTTGGTTTTGAAAAGTTTTACCATGCTTAAGTGTTTTTTACTTATTTCATTTGAGGTTCAAGACTATGGCTTTATTGTGTTTCCTCAGCTGTGGGAGATCCTCAGCCACTGTTCATTGACTGTCTCTATCTATTGTTAAATTTGGCTAGTGAACTCTTGATTTCAAAAAGCTTCTCAGTTTTAAGAATTTCCATTTTGCTCTTTCTTAAAACTAATTTTCCATTCTGTTAAATTTTCCATCTTCCCTTAGTTCCTTGTATATATTAAGAAGTTAAAGTTCAGGATTGATTACATATTATCAGGATTCCCTTTGACTCTGTCACCTTTGTGTCTGTTGTCTTTTGACCAGGTCTTTATCTCTTTTACTCCTGGATCAAATATATATGATCATGTACGAAAAATTGCACAAAAACTTGAAACACCGGTAATGTCATCTTCATACAAAACAACTTTGCTCCTCTGAATCTCAGATAATAATCCAGTAAGGTTCATTCAGTCCCTTGGAAAACTGGTCTATTAATACTTCTGGTTCAACCTATTCCTAGAGTATATAGTAACTTGGGGTTCCAAATCAAAGCCTGGGGCATGGGAGGCTTAAAAGGGCTCCCCTTTTTGGTGACCACTGAACTCAAGGTTTTGTCTGCTTGGCACTTGATTCTGTACATCTGTTTTTCAGCTTCTTGGTAGCCTCTTCCAGAATAGGTCCTGGGGGAAAAATAACCCCAAACACCAAGCACCTCTGTTTTTCTTCCTGATTTTGGCCCTATAATTCTTTAGTATCTTAGTGGTTCTCTGAAGGTTTCAGATGTTTAGATCTATACTTCTTTCTATATATATACACATACACACACATACATGTCTATAAGTCACAGCTTTTCTAGTTCTCAGTGGGGAGGTAGGTCCAATGTAACTACCTTAACTGGAAATGATACATTTCTTTTCCATCATGCTCTTTACCCCATCACTCTCCTGAATCTGTTCTTTAAAAAAATTTTAATTTTTGCTGTACAGCAAAGTGACTCAGTTATGTATTTTTTATATTCCTTTCCACTATACCACAGGATATTGAATATAGTTTCACTGTGCTATATATATAGTAGGGCTTTGTTTTATGAAATTGTTCTTCTGAAGTTCACTAGTGACCTGTTGCTAAATTCAAGGGTTCTTACTCTTCATTAACCTATTTGCATCACTTAGCACATGATTATATTACTTCCTCCTGGAAAGACTTCCTTCCCTGAACTTCAAAATCGCCACTCTATTTCCCTATTTTTCTGCTTTCTCCTTAGCTTCCCATTCTCTTAAAAGCTGAAATGCCCAGGACTCTCATTACAACTCTTCTTCTATTCTTACCCTTGGTGATCTTACCATGGATACCCTCAGAACTCTCAAATTTGTACTTCCAATAAAGCATCCCCTGAATCAACTTTCACTTCCAGTAAAATGTCTTGCTCCTTTTACTGCATACTGTCACTTGGATATCCAATAGGAATCTCAAACTAAGTTCCTGACCCAATCACCTTCACTATTCTCAAACCTATTTATTCATCCTGATCTTTTCCATTTCAGTTACTAGCAATCCACTTCTAGTTGTGCAGGTAAAATCTTTAATCACCTCTGACTTCTCACAACATACTGTCCACAAGAAAGGAACCATCTTAAAAATATATCCAGAATCTAACTTCTACTGCTACCAAGTCACTACATTGTGCCTAATTATAGTAGCTCCTTAAGTTTGTCACTGGCCTCGGTTCCATTTAGTCTTTCCTCAGCACAGTAGCCAGTCATTCTATTAAATCCTATCACTTAACCTCTTTGTTCAAAACTCTGACATGCCATAAACAAAAGCTAAAGAACTTAAGCCAAAATGTCTCCTTGGGTCCAGCTACAATGGCTGGTACATTTGAAACAGTTCCTTGTTTTAAAGAAGCATATTTTAATGTGATAGGAGAGGCAAAGTGAGCTGGAAAGAAAAAGATCAAATCACACAAACGTTAATTACCCATCGTAATTTATTCATGATATTGCCTAAAACGAACAAGGCCATATCCAAGGCATCGGAATTACAGCAATGGGATTAAAAAAAAAAAAAATTACTCATGGAGTTTGAATTAGAATGGGACATATACAACATATCAAAGTACAATATAACTACATAATACTAAGTTTTATGGAAGAAAATAAAGATAGTAAGGGTGTTGTAACTTAAATAACGTCCTGAAGTGGCAATGGGAAGTATGCTAGGTGAGACAAAGAGTAGTGTTTAAGAGATTTTCAGCTACCTCAGGTCTGCCAAGCTGCAATCCTCCCCATTGACTTCTTACAGAAGCAAAGTCCAAACATGTAAACAGGCATCAGATTTTCTGGGCTAAGTGCTTTAATGGCAGTATTTCAAGATGGGAAATTTATTTTACTTTTATTCAATGATTTTTAAAAAATGATCTAAAAAACTCATGTTAAGAAACTGAACCCCAAAACATGCTAGTGACTTGCTATTCTGAGGGCACTGGGCTACATTACTATCCCATGTAATCAACTGTCAATTCATCAGCCTATGAACTCCTTCAATTGCTGCATTACTGCTTGGCCCTAAAACATGTGTATAATTACCAGAGTTCGATAGTGCAAAGACAAGCCCTAGACTGGATGCAGCTCATCGAAGACTATACTATTTTCTAATTTCTGTGGCCATACCTAACATTGGACTCTTAGAGCAGAGCATTTTCTTAACAGCTTCTTAGATGTCTCTAACAGAGCTCCAAACTAATTTCAGTCCTTGGTCAGTAAATGTACCCCTTTTATGCTTCCAAATTTTCACATAAAAATAATTTCTAACAGTATTCCTGTATGTCTTTTTCCCTAAGAAACTGTCACTACTTTTATTATATTCTAACACTTCTTGTATCTTTGTAAGGAACCAATTACACGATTCTCTAAACATAAATTCCTTAAAATATCATTTACAAGGATAAAGCAAAACCCAATTTTAAAAATGAAACTTTCTAATTTATAAATGCATACTAAAAAGCTAACAGTTATTAGAATTTTCTTTATATACATCATCAATATAGCTTAACCAAAATAAAATTGTTCTGCATATTCCAAAGATCTTTTCCTTTTTTCTCCTTATGCATTATAATCCCAAAATAATCTTCTGTATAAGCACCATGACAACAGTTCAAATTTTCTGGATAAAAATGAGTGAACAACATTTAATTTGTTTAAGATCTTAATACATATAAGTATTTTAGATTCATCAAACAAGAGTGCTTTAAGGAAAGAATCAGGTTGTCCTATGGTTATCCCTTTTAAGTGTTTACCAACCTTCTCCCCATAATGGCACACAAGAAAATAAAGCTTATACTGTATGCTGAAAAGCATTACAATTCCTCGGTAAAGTGACTCTTGGTAGAAACAACTGGCCCAGGGATGCAGGTATCTAGCTTTGCGGCTTGAGAAGTTCTACACATTTACTATTTAATAACTGCTTCAAGAAAGGATTTTTTAAAAAGATCTTTCTTTTACCATGTTCACTAACATTTATACAATGCTGGAAATGTGTTGACATTTTAACTCTTACCGTTTTCTTGTCAAGAGAAGGCATAATGAATATTCAAAATTAAGCCTAAAGCTACAGTCACAACAAAAAATTATGAACTCAAAGACCATCTGCAATTTAAGCGCTCTCTTGTATAAAGCATCAAAGTTACAAGTACTAGTCTTAAGCAGTCACACAAGTCTAAGCCACATTTATTTGCACATGTATAGTAATGGGCAACAGATACTCCAAATTCATACAAATTTATAAAACAACAATCATTTGGTACCACTTGCGTGTTATCTTGCTTACAGATTCAAGTGTAGATGAAGTTCCTTCATTTTGTAAACTTTCACACAAATACTTAAACAAAAATTCTTGAAAACACATATTGGCATGTTTCAGATAGGGCCAACACAAAAGTTAAGACCAGACCACAAACTTAAAATCCAAGTTTAGAATATACTTTTCTACCTCCCTCCCCTAGAGAGTGATTATTTTCTTTAACAGATGTATATGCTGTATCACAGAAGTAGCCATGGAGACAAAAGATGCTCCCATAATCATAAAGAAAATGCCAGTCATACTGTTTTATCTACCAAATATATGGTTTAAATATGAGAAAACAGGAAAAATGGGGAAATGCTTAGATTAAAATAACAAGGGAGATTAGAAAAATGTGGTAAGTGATTTTGAAGGGGAACAAACTATGTTCCCATCAAAGCTGGAAAGTTCTGACTTTGACAACTCAAAATAATTGTCTAAGGCAAATGAAAGTGAGGAAACCTTCAAAAACATTCTAATCACGTTTAGTATCTAGTGATAAAAGCTGAAAATGGTATCATGAGGGTATTTATTATACAAGCGTCAACGAGGACATCCCAAAGCTAATGAAAGAAATGCACATTTATTTCTACAAAAGCAATGTATGATACAGAAGGGAACAGACTTAAAGATTTACCTATTAAAATATACAGATTCTTACTGAAGAGTATAGGATATTTAAAAAAGATGACAAGGGATGTTAATCTTTTTTTATTATTATTGTTTTTACATATTTTGGAACCTCACATAATTTTGATAAATAACTCTTACAAAATTATGCAAAAGTACAAGAATGTCTGGTAAACAAACAGTCTGTATTTTCCAAAAAATTTTTTACAACATGCAATTCTTAAGGCAGCATTCTCCTTACAAGGAAAGGTAATCCTTTTAACTCATCAAGAAATCTTCTGCTGCAAAGAATAGGCTAAGAAAGCCTGGCTTCTTCCATTAACGCCTCTTGTCTTTCCTGTCTGATTTTCGGTCTCTTTCACTTCTTGAAGATCTTTTGCCTGATCGACTACTCTCTGATATAGACCTCTTTCTGTCAGACCGGGAATTCTTATCCTTTGATCCTTTCGCATCTCTACCACTACCTCCTTTTGAAGACTTGTGACTTCTCTCTAGTCCGGAAGCATCCCTTCGCTTCCGATCCACGCTCCTCCTGTGCTTTCTATCTCTGTTATGTCCCCGGCCCCTACTCCGACTTCTACTCTCACTGCTGCTAGTCGTGCTGCTGCTACTGTCCCTGCTGCTGCTGCCACTGGTACTGGAGCTGCTACTGGAACTGCTGCGGCTACTGCTGCTGCCACTGCTGGAACTGCTGCCGCTGCTGCTACTAGTTGAGCTGCTGCTGGAACTACTACTGCTACTGCTTCGACTTCTACTCTTGCTTGTCTTATTTCTAGCTCGACCTCTACTTCTGCTCCTAGTTTTGGTTTTGTTCTTGCTCTCTGAATGTACCGTCAGGACTGGCTCTGTCACCTCAGTGAGTTTTACAGACTCTACAAGAAACTCCTTCCTCTCAGGTGGTAAATGCCCTTGCTCCTGAACAACCTGAGGTGGTGGCTGTGAAACAGCTAACGGCAAAGCCTCAGGCTGAGAGAGAGGCTGGGGCTGGAATACTTGTTGGGGCTGAGACTGGGATTGAGACTGGGGCTGGGGCTGAGGCAGGGACTGAGGTTGAGCCATAGGCTCAGGTTGGGGCTCAGATTCTTTTTCTTCTTTTTCCTCGGGCTCATTTTCCATTTCTAGAGTACTAGCATTCTCTTTTGCAGGAGAAACAGATTTACATTCTTTATCTGGCTCAACTTCAAATTCCATTTCTGGCTCCAATTCTTTGCTAGTTTCATTTTCTGAAGGTTCTATGCTTTCAACTTGATTGATTTCCATTACCTCCTGCTCAGTAATTACATTTTTGACACTCTCGACCATCTCTAGCACATCCATAACTTCTTCAGGCTGACTATCCTGCTGCTTCTCACTTTCCCTTACCTCAGTTTCCTCCTCCATCTTTACTTCCATTTCCTGTTTTTGTTCCTCCTCCTCCTGTTCCTTCTCTGCATCACTATGAACTATACCAATTTCCTTTTCCTCTTCCTCTCCTGCTTCCTCTATTTCTACATCATTGTGCTGATTACCTGTCTCCTCCAACTCTTCCTCTCGCTGAGCCACCTTACCCTCTTCTTGTTCCGACTTCTGTTCTTCATTACGCACCACCACCTGATGTTCTTTTTCCTTCATTGATTGTCTTCTAGGCCTAGCCTCCATTTTATTTATTTGTTCTGCAAATTCGATGCGTCTACCTTCAAATAAAGCTAAAGAATAAAAATTTACATGTGTAAAATTTACTAAGATTTAAAAAATTCAAAGTCACAATTTGACATCTGGTCACAGAATGTCATTGGAGTTTTATCTAAATGTCTTTTTTGTAAAGAGATGACAAGACTGATTATGTCAAGTAAGTAATTCCAAATTGATATAAGATGACAAAAGCAAACAACCACTGGAAACCTATACACTTTAAGAAATCAGGAGCAGGCAAAACTACATATTATCTAATTGATGGAAAAACAGGACAATCTTTTGCTATTTTATTGCAGACTAAATGAAAATGAACAAAACTTCTTTTAAACAATCAGTTTCATGGTATCATACCATGAATTAATTTTTCTGATCCCAAAAAGAGACAAATGAGCTAATCACAATCTTAGTAGTATCTACCCTTCCATGTATATACTTCCTTTATAGACTACATCAATCTTCACCTTTTTCTTGATTCATCAGCATTTGAACCTGGCTACTAAGGATGTCAAGCAAAATACGAAGTCAGCTCACACAAATGCTTTAGAAACAAACATGCATGAAGTACCACCTAATATGTTAAGTTTCCTGTATCTAATATCTGTCATGAAACAAATGATGCTGTACTCGAAACATGTTAGCACCTTAAGAATATTGTTCTAAAACATTAACGAACTGCAACTGCTACATGAAAGAAACAAACATGTATGTATTATGAATCTGTTACCTTACCCACCAAGGAAATTTCAAGGGACCTCTTCTTTATACTTACCATTCATTTTTCTCTGAGACTCCTCTATTAATTTTTGGGTAGCAGGACACATTCTTCCAGGAATATAGAACAAATGGGGCTTTGTTTTAGTTCTGATATATTTTATTATCTTGGCATTATGCTCATTCCATTCTTCTTGCTAAAGAAAAGGTAAAAGGTCAGTGCTTTTGTCAACATGAAGGATTACCAATCTTAGAATTCCAAAATATACTCACCAGCTGCGCAAGCTCAACCTTCTGTTCCAAAAGCCGCAGTTCTGTCTGTTTAGCACGTCTCTCTTCAAACAGTTCTCTCCTCTCATTTTCAACCTGTTTTCTTTCTTCTTCTGCCTGCACTTCAAGTTTTTGTTCAATTTCCTGGCGTCTCTTTTGCTAAGGATAAACAATAACCTTTAAAAGCTTATTATGCACCCTGATGTGAAACACTGCAATTTTACTGATGTCTACAAACATGTGTCACATCTGCAATTCAGGACACCAGCTAATTCAAACTTGGCATCTGAAGCAGACTGCAGTTTCCCTTTCAGGAAATGGGGACTGAAGCCTTTTCATGTAAAAAATCTAAAATTTAAAGCTGCCAGCTGTAATATCAGTTACTATTCCATTCCAACACAATGTATGAAAGAACTTAACCTAAAAGTTCACCTGAAAGAGAAGAGTAGTGTCTTTATAGGTTATTTTCAGTTACTCTTTCCAAAGCAAAAAATTGGGAGACAAGTGATATCCTAGAACAGACAACTAGTTCACTCTCTCTGAAATAAAACTTAACTTCCTGTAACTGAATTGCTATCTCCCTTCTCCCCTGAGAAGCAGTAACTTTGTGTTCAACTCCAAGGACACAATTTTGTAGCTTTAGTAAAATAAAAACTTCCAGAAATAGGACAAATAAACTCTGGAGAGCAGGGAATATAATTTATGCTTCTGCTTCTAGAGCACCTCTGAGTGTGTTTTAGAATTTATAATTACTTAATAAATTACCATGGTTAATAAGTTCAACTTGCTGTTTTAAAGAAAGTACTATAAGGCCTGAAGAAATGGAGAGACTTGCTCAAGGCCTGAAGAAATGGAGAGACTTGCTCAAGACCTGAAAGTGAGACTGCTATAGAGCTGAAAACCTGAATCCAGGTTCTCCTGAGTCAGATTAGGCTCAATGAACAACAAAGAAAAGTTCACTAAGTTACTTAGCAGCACCTCAGAAAGAACCAGTTAATAACAATTTGAGAAAGTTTTAAGTTTTTCCTTAGCTTTATTTTAGGCTGACAATTAAATCTTTTTCCCTACTTAGGAAATATCAGTAATGCACTTTATGAATCTTGCAATTAAATCTCAAGATTTTTTAAAACATTTAACACATAATCAACTACCTTGACAGCTTAATAAAGGAAGCAAAAGAAAAACTGCATAAATACCCTTTCGGTAGCAACAGTGGATTCTTGTTTAAATTTCTGAAGGGTGCCCATCAACAAGCCAAATATTCGCCGGTTCCTAAAGAAAAGAAAAAATCCAGTTTCAAAAGGTTCTACTTCATTTGAGCCTGCCATGTCCTATAAGAAGCACAGTATACACTTGAACAATTCCTAAAATTTTCTTAAAATTGCATTATTTAACAAGAGATATTTCCCTCCAGAAAGATACTCAAGATACCTTTGCTTTCCCTTTTCATCCATATTTTGATCCTGGATAAGGTCTCTCCGTGTGCGCTCTTTGGAGGTAGCTACAACTGAAGACTGCAAAGCTGGCTGCAGGAGAAAAGAAATCTCAGTAATCTAACTAACATACCAGTAGCACTCTACTAAATGTAGGAAGGTGAAAATACTATATTCACCCTCTATGAAGTTCTTTTAATCTCAATTACCTTCTTAACATCATCATCTTCTGGGTCGCTTTCTTGGCGTGATTCTCGTCGAGTCCGACGCTCCCCTCCCAGCCTGACATAGGAAAGGGAATTTAAAAAGGCCAATTCAAACTTTGATCTCCTGTAGCTCTCAACCCAGTTAAGCTTTTGTAGTGTAAGACAGGAAAGTAACACAAGCTGACTATTTCCTCAATCTTATTTTTCTCCTGACCTTTACTGTGCTTTCATTTTTTTTTAGTTCTACCAGTTTACTGCTACCAACCCATCTCCCTCCAATATCTATCCTGCATGCGTGCTCAGTCATGTAACCCCATGGACTGCAGCCTGCCAGGTTCCTCTGTCCATGGACTTTTCCAGGCAATAATACTGGAGTGGGTTGCCATTTCCTTCTCCATGTGCTAAGATTTCTGTTACTGCCATGAAGAACTGAGTTTTCACGGATACTGGCTGTCTCAGTTCAGTCAAATACCAAGTGAAAGACTCAGAGTAAGTGATATACTACTCAATTCTAATACAACTCAATCCAACAATATTAAATACTTATATTCTACCTCATAAAATAAAGTATGCTTCCAGAATCTTGTCCTTCAACATACCTACTGACTGCCCCTTCAAGGTCTCTCTGTTTGGCTGGGGGTCCTCCTCCACTATCTGAGAATCCACGCCTGCAATAAAAATGTCCAACATAAAGCACGTGAAATTTAAGAAAAATGGTTATTTCTACTTAAGAAGATAATTTAGTTGCAGTTATTAAAAACTCCAAAATAAATAAAGTAACCTCAAATAGACATTTACTTCAAGATGGATGTTTTCATAGCATTTCTCTTAGCTCTATGAGAATATATTAAGTATGCACATAACTGATATACTTACTATATTCTTCAATCTCTAGCTGTAAATGTAAATGAAATTAACTATACAGAAAACCACAGCTAATCACAGCTTCAAACAAACCAAACTTTTCTTAACACTAACTCTAGCACGAAATTTGTTTAAACCGATTCATTAATTTAGTACAGCACCAAATGTATTAAATTTTAAGGAAATCTTACCTCAGCAATAAACTACCACGTCCTCTACCTCCACCAGGACCAGAAAGGGCGAGCAATCTGGCTTGGATGGGCCTACAAAATATTTACAAATCAGTGCAACAATCGTTTCTAACAGCACCAAACACTTCAACGGGTGCGGTTCACCATCAAGAGAAAATAAACAGAAAAGTTCTAAGAAGAAGGTTTCAAATCCACGTGTTTCAAACACGGCAAGTGGCACTTTACTAACTTCCTCGTTTTCCCAAGACCAGTTTCACAGAAATGTATTTCTCTCAACACCACTACACGTTAACAGACCTGAGTCAGGTTCCAATTTCACCAACCCAAAGAAAGTTGCACGTGGGCAAGAGCCGGAGGGTGAGGCGGCAGACAGCGTCCCCGGAGGGTCCCAGGGCCAACCCTGAATCGGGTAGCCCGGGAAGGAGGAAGGCTTTGTGCTGCAGTTCCGGGCCTGCGGAGCCGAGGGCGGGAATCGGCAGTCCCGGCCTTCCCATAGGACGGGAGGCCATCCCGGCGCACCCAGGCTCCGCTCTCTTTCCTCACGCACCCAAGACGTAGGACTTAACGCTGAAGGCCTTGGAAATTCCCACCTCACAGAGAACAGGATCCCACGGCTGCCCGGGAACAGGCCTCGATGTTCCAGTCTTCTCAGGGCTGACCGCCCTCCCCGCCCCCAATTCACCCTGGCTTCACGGCCGCCTCTGGGAGCCAGCATTCCCCATCCACTCCTTACCTCACGTCATTCGGATCCCGCCCGGTGAGCTTGCGAATATTCTCATCCACATTCTTTAGGCTCTCTTTGGCCTTTTCTAGCTGCTCCTGCAAAGTTCTCACTGCGACCGCCATCTTCTCCCTGCAGCAGGCTTCGAGACTGCTCTATAGGCCGCGCCTGCCTGTGTCGCGCCGCAAGACGCCAGAGGACTGACAGCTGGGCTCAGCCAATGGCAAAAGGAGTTGTATTTCGGCCTCAACCACTCAGCAACCAGAAGGGGGAGAAACTGCCGGCCTTTGTGACTCTGGGCCAATGAAAAGTCAGGCAGGGGTCCCCTCCCTCCCCAATTAGCTGCGGGTGGCTGGACTCCGCTTCTAGCGCAAAGCCGGGGCGGGTTTGAGACTACTTGGGTCCTCGGAGACGTGGGTTCGCGGCCCACCTCTTCTGGTGAGGAGAACGGTGTCTTCCTGGTCCTTTTAACCTGTAGAGGACGTGCCTCTTATCGTTTTACCACCTGATTCCCTCAGAGTAGGGTTCAGAGAGTCTATTTCCCCGTCTTCCCCCGGTAAATGATTTGATTAGGACTGGGTGCGGCCATTCCGTTGGTGCGCATGCCCAGAGAGGCGGTGGGCGGGGCGCAGACTTCTCTTGATTAGGTTAAACCTTAGAAGAACGGAGGGAAGCGAATGAAGAGGAAAAGTCGTTCCTCCTAATAGCTAACAATTATTTTGTACTCTGTGAAACACTCTACGTGTATTATCCCCCACAAGTCAAAGGCTTGAATAAACTTGTAACAAGCCTGATAAGGAAATTGAGTCTGGAAATAATGTAACTGTCCTAGGTCACGCCGGTCCAGAATCATCCTATGATCAGTGCCAGATTGTACTACAAAAAAATGATCAGATCATGTGCAGGGTTATACTTAAAAAAAAAAAAAAGAAAAAGAAAGCGACGATACGGGTATTAGCCTCTACACCTAGGTTGCAGCTGGTTGGTTTAAAATGGGTTCTGAAGAACAATGTTATGGATAATCTTTTGTTCTCATCCTTCACTCGTTAGCTAGGCATCCGTGCACTAAGCTTAGCAGGCCAGCAGTATTTAATCCGAGTTACCATTAAATTCATCCAACAATCCTTAAAAGTTCTTGATCTGTTAATCTGGACTCTGGAAAAATCCTGGAACAAGATAGCTGTGGTTCCTGCTTCGACGAAGTTTGTAGGCTTCTCAGGGAGCAAAGATGCTTCCTGTACTTTACACATTTAACAGATATTTATGAAATGCTTACTATGTGCCAGGCACTTGGATAGTCACTGTACAATACAGATATCTGCCCATAAGGAGCTTGGCGATGGGAAGAATGAGGAGACAGATAAAAGCTTAAGTAAATTATAAAACGTGGTAGAAATGGGTTAAGTGCTATACAAAAAAAGAAAATGTAAAGCTGGGTAAGAAGGATGCGTGTGTGCTCAGTCGTGCCTTTGCAACGCTATGGCCTATAGCCCCAGGCCCCTCTGTCCATGGGAATCTCCAGGCAAGAATACTGGAGTGAATTGCGGGCCCCTCCTCCAGGGAGTCTTCCTGATCCAGGGATCTCCTGCATTGGCAGGTAGGTTCTTTACCACTAGCACCACCTGGGAAGCCAAGAAGGATGAGTCTTGATAAATAATTAAATGATTCTGGGACTTCGTTTGTGATGCAGTGGTTAAGACTCCTCAACTTCCACTGTAGGGGGCTCAGGTTTGATCCCTGGTTGGAGAACTAAAATTGTGCTTGCAGCTGTGGTATGGGGAAAAAAAAAAAAAACTACATGGTTCTGATTGTGAGCAATCACTGCAGATGGTGACTGCAGCCATGAAATTAAAAGGTGGTTGCTCCTTGGAAGAAAAATTATGACCAACCTAAACAGCTTATTAAAAATAAGCAGAGACACTACTTTCCCAACAAAGGTCCATCTAGTCAAAGCTATGGTTTTTCTAGTAGTCATGTATGGATGTGAGAGTTGAACTATAAAGAAACCTTAGCACAGAAGAATTGATACTTTTGAACTGTGGTGTTGGAGAAGACTTGAGAGTCCCTTGGACTGCAAGGAGATCCAACCAGTCCATCCTAAAGGAAATCAGTCCTGAATAGTCATTGGAAGGACTGATGCTGAAGCTGAGACTCCAATAGTATGGCCACCTGATGCAAAGAATTGACTCATTTGAAAAGGTCCTGATGCTGGGAAAGATTGAAGGCAGAGATGGTTGGATGGCTTCACCAACTCGATGGACATGAGTTTGAGTAAACTCCTTGAGTTGGTGATGGACAGGGAGGCCTGGCGTGCTGCAGTCTATGGGGTTGCAAAGAGTCAGACACAACTGAGCAACTGAACTGAACTGTCAGCATGCTTAGTCTCATGGATCCTTAGTAGACAGTACTTGGAACCTGAGTGTGGTAATAGTGCCATGAAGTGTAACAGTGTTTCCATGGGAAGATGCTTTTAGAGTCAGCCAAAAAGGTAGGATCTAGTCCTACTTCCTTAGAATCTATTACTAACATCCTTGGGAAATTTAACAGTCTCATTTACAGGGGAAAATCAGTAGAATGCCACGTCAAACATTTAGTAATGCTCAATAAATATTAGTTTCCCGTCCAGTCGCCAAAATATCCGAAGACACCGTTATTGTGGTTTAAGAAATAGATCTTAGTAAGACACCAATTTTTTGCCTAATCTTTGACCTTGCTGGTGGTGACAAGGGAGAATACAATTGGGACATAAAGGACCTGATTTCATAAATGGGAAATTTTAGTGCTGGAAAAATCAAGATTAAGATTACCAAATACTCTTCAAAATTAGTTTATTTGCAAAGGGTTTGTTGAAACATATGCTTGATTTTTTGTGGTGGTTGAAAAAACTGATTGAAACGTTAGAAGGGACATGTTTAAAAACAAAACAAACCCGCCTCTACTCCAATTATGGTACATGGTCTTAAATTTTATGAAAGGATATGAAGAGTTGAAAGGTTAACAATTTGAGAAACTCAGCACTTTGAGGGAAGCAATGACTTCATTGGGCAAAAAATCTTTTCTGTAAGTTACTAAGAAAAGAACTAATCATAGGCGCAGCAACACGTTTAAGCCAAAGTTTGCCAAGTTTAAAATGTGTATATGGTCTAACATTTGTATTTGCACGTCTGCAGCGGTTGTCCCACATCCGCCATTGATTCTTACATGGATTCCATCCCTTCAGTCGCATTTCTGAAGTCTTTTATTTGCATTTTCTGATTCAAATTTCCCTGTTCTTGTCCCTTACTTCCAGTAAACTTCCTGGCGGCCAAAATGGCTCTAAATCTTACATCTAGGCTTATCCAAAATGGATTGGGATAATTTCTCAATATACCTAAAATTTATCAGTTCAGTTCAGTCCTCAGTTGTGTCCTACTCTGCGATCCCATGCACTGCAGCACGTCAGGCTTCCCTGTCCATCACCAACCTAAAATTTATAGCCTGAAAACTGACGATTTATTCACTCCTTACAACTTTTCATATTTAGGAACATATAGCAGAAGTGGAAGCTTTTAATTAAGCTATTAGACATTGTTGTGCCTAACATAACAAATTAACAGAGATGGCAGCGGGAGCTCTTCTTTTCTCTTACCAATTTAGCCACTTAGCACACGAAAAATCCTTCCTCCTCTCGGCGCCAGCAGTTCACCCCGGGGAAGGAACTCTGTGACCATAGAGCTGGCGGAATGCCGGGGTAGAGGGGACCGGATGTTGTGTTTTCACCTCCCGCCTAGGGGCCGGGTCGGGTCTCCACGGGCTGGGTTTGGTTCCCGTTGCTGTCAGACTCTCCCGTTCAGCCGCAGGGCCGGGTGGCCCTGGGGTGAGCTCGCCCCGGGACCAGACTCGCTCCATTACCAGCCTTCAGGAAGCTGAGTGGATTCCTCGGTCTCCTAGCAACGAGGGCCCGGCCGCGGACTGAGCCAGCCGCGTAGCTTGTCCAAGCAGTTGGGGCGCTATCCAGAATCCCCAGCCGGACCCAAACGGGAGCCGAAACCCCGATCTTGGAGGAATAAGCAGGAAATGGCGGACGAGGCGTTGTTTTTGCTTCTGCATAACGAGATGGTGTCTGGAGTGTACAAGTCCGCGGAGCAGGGGGAGGTGGTGAGTCCTGCCACACGCCCTGACACTGCTTGTTTCCACTCAGTTCTTTCCTTCAGTCCCTGTCCCATCGCATGCCACTCGTCGCCTCCCGAAGTGTAGACGAATTGGTACACTTTCAGGTATCCTAAGCCTTAGAACCTGTCAGCTGTCCAGTCTTGCATTCTTGTCTCTTTCGTAGCTTCTACTCTATGATACCTTCTTGTCCAATCCCGTATCTGTGTCTGGCAGGCCACAGATTTTCTTAGTTTTGTCCCTTCCATGTGTTGTCCCTGCCCTGATTTGCGGCAGAGTTAACTGCTGATTTTGGCACCCCTACTTAATTCCAATGTCACTAACAGCACTTCCCAGTTGTTCCCTGGACAGATCTCTCCTAGCCTGAGAATCCTGTCCCTCCCTCCACATCCCTAACCCTCACTAACACTCCAGGAAACTCAGAGAAAGAATGTTAATGAGATTCGAGGTCGAAGCAAAGGAAACTTTGCATGTGTTACTATGATTAGAAAACACAATGTAAAAAAATTTAGTGTGCATTATATGTCAGAGCTGGTCGCTGGGGATATAGTAATGAAGAAGGAAACAATGGCCCCATCCTCCTGGAGGTTACTTCTAATGTATGTGAGTCTTCATTCACTAATTGATTCATTTAGAAAATATGTTAAGTGTATTGTGGGCCTGACATTGTTCGATTAATAAGATGAAGTCCCTGCCTCACAGTCATTGGGGAATGTGGGTTCAATGAATAATTAGCAGTATTTGGTGGTATGAAATAATGGAGTTGTAGGATTTCATAAATGAAGTATTCTAAAGTCATGCTCAGGTCAGAAGCTCTAGTTTCTATAATGCTGTTGATAAAGAGGGATAGAAAGTAAAGGCAGGACAAGCATCCTAAGCAAAGGTAAAGTCATAGTGGAATGAAAGGTGTAGAGTATTTAAATATGCCTGAGCGTTCACTGTGACTAGATTGATTAGGTGGAGAGTGAAAAGTATTGAAAGCTGAAGCTAGAAAGAACCTTGTTATGATTAAAAACATGGACCTTCTCAGTGGAGGATTTTTAAAAAGAATGACACAGTCCATTTGCATTTCAGAAAGATGAAAGTATTCTTTGGACTGGAGAGGGAAGCTCTTGTAGTGAGAAGCTCCCTTATTGTAGGAGTCCAGGCAGGAGATGATGAAGATCTGGATAAAGAGAAGAGGAGAGAACGGTTTGAGAGATAGGAGGCCGAATCTCTAAGACTTGATTAGGTATAGGAATGAGAATTGAAAATTATCCCCAGGTGTTTAGCTTGAGCTGCTGGGTTGGATGGAGAAGGAATAAAGAAGAGGTGAAGATACTGAATTATTTTGGACTGGTTGAATTTGTGGCACCTTAGGACATCCAGGAAGAGTGGCTCTCAGTTTGTGAACTGTAAGAAGGATACTGTCTGTTTTAGGGGGCTGTAACAAAGATGCCAGAGGGATTTATAAACAACAGAAATTCATTTCTCACAGTTCTGAAGGCTGGGAAGTACAGTCAGGGCACCAGAAAATTCAGGGTCTGGTGAGAGCCGCCTCCTGGTTTATAGATAGAGGTGTTTTGGCTATGTGCTCACATGGTTGAAGGGGACTAACTAGCTCTCTGGGGTATCTTTTATAAGGGCAGTAATGCTTTTCTTGAGGGCTCCACCCTCAAGACAGAATCATCTCCCAAGGCCCCTATCTCCTAATACCATCTGGGGGTTAGGATTTCAACATAGGAATTTTGGGGAGATACATTCAGTCGATGGTATTAATTATGCATTAGAGATATTAATAGGAAGACATCAGGAAGAGTATTGGAAATAAAGCAAGTTTTATCTTTTTTTTTTTTGGCCACACCTTGCAGCATGCAGGATCTTAGTTCCTAGATTGAATTCACGCCCGCGGCAGTGAATCCTAACCACAGAACCACCAGGGAATCCCACAAAGTCTATTATTCAGATTCATCAGTAGTAAGAGATTTTTTCCAAATTAACAAACTTTTGACTTTAACATCATTAACAACCAGTAGTTAATGTTTAGCATCTGTGCTGAGTGCTAGTGCTGAGTAGCAGACATTTGTGTTTGTGTAGAGTTAGCGTTCCTTAAATCCTTTTTCCCAGAGAATAATTAGTAACACATCTCTTTTACTCTATTATCATAAAGTCTCTGCTCCCTGCCCCACCACATATGCATCAGCTTGCTTCATTCTACTCTCTTCTACTTTTTTCCCTCTTTTAGCTCTTGCCCAGGAAAACCTTTTTAAAAAAATCCCTCCCCCACCCCCCGCAATGGGTTAGCCAAAATAAAACAAAACAGTTGTTCTAATTGTGACTGTTAATTTTGAGAGATGTGCTAGTCCTATAAGAGAAAGGAAATCCAAAAGTTTTGAATCATTAAAAATAACTTTCTTTTCCTATTGCAGTTTCTGTATGGTGGGGAAAAAATTGTAAGTGCATATAAGCAAAAAGGATTTTTAAAAAGTTAATGTAGTAGGCTGGATGATTAGAATCCATACTGGCATCTTGGTGTATGAGGGTTTGTTAACGTCTCTACTTTGAGTGTGCTTCAAATTTTTCATAATAAAAAAATGTAAAAGAAAGACATAATTCTATCATTCAGAGATGGCCTTTATATATCTTTTTAGACATAAAGTCATAAGTTTAAGTGAAATCAAGGAAAAGACTAATGTTCTCACACTTCAGTAATTTTCCAACTGTGCCAAAGAGGTATTAAATCTAATAATTGAATAACTGGACATTTAGCAATTTATTGGGAATAACTTTTTTTACATTAATGGATAAAATATTCCTAAGTTTTTCTTAAAAATTTGGTACTTACTAGTGAGCACTCACAGATGCCAAAGTGAATGAACATGTAGCAACATCAGAAGGTTTTCCTAGGGCTTAATTCAAAAGTTCATGTGATTCATAGTTAAGATTTGAGAATGTCTGCATATAAGCATATTTCCTGCTTATCAATATATTCCTGGGTGATTCTACAAAGAGCTGATTGTTTCACAAAGAGCATCATGATTTACAGGTCATTCTACCTGAGCATGTTTGGAAACGGGTATGGAAATTAACAGAGTGGTGCTGTATGGTCCAGTGGAGAAACAACACAATTTGGTTTTTAGAAAGTCTATAGCATAAATACAGAAAATAAATCAAAGGAGAAAAAACTAGAGACAAGGAGATCAGTTAGGAGGTTCTAACTGAAGACCAGGAGAGAAAGGTTAAGAGCTAATTTAAGCAGTCAGGAGAGAGAAGATGGACTTGGAAAAGCATGTAGATGATAGGCTCCACAGGACTGCAGTGTGTATGTAGGCTTGGCAGCACAGAGGTGAAGGAAATGGAAGTTTTCTGGTTGTAGTAACTAGATAGACGGTGGTGTCATTAGTGAGGTTAAAGAATTTTGGAGGCAGAGCAAGCCGAGGATGCTAAGATAATATCATTTTAAACATGCCGTATTTAAGGGGCCTGTGGGACCTCGGGGCTTCCCAGGTGGCGCTAGTGGTAAAGAATCCACCTGCAATCCAAGAGACGCAGGAGACATGGGTTCCATCCCTGGGTTGGGAAGATCCCCTGGAGGAGGGCAGTGGCAACCCACTCCAGTATTCTTGCCTGGAGAATCCCAGACAGAGGAGCCTGATGGGCGACAGTCAGCGGGGTTGTAAAGAGTTGGACACGACTGAGCATGCACACAATGGGACCGCTAGATGACTGTCTGCAAAAATCTGTACTAGAAATAAAGATTTAGTAGTCAGCCCTATTAGTGGAGTACTTAGAAGAAAGTTCAGCAGATAACGAGGCCTGTGGTGTTAATGGAAGACAAAGGCTTCAAAATATATAAAATTTCTTGCCCTCTTGTTGCTGTATTCTAGTAGGTGGGGATGGAAGAACATGAACAGTATAAAATTAGTAACATGTATATTAGGTTAAATGGTGAAAGAAGTTCCTTGGAGACAAATTAAGCAGAGAAATCAGAGCATCAGAATCACTTTTGGAGGGCTTCTTAAAACACAGTTTACTGACCCATACCTACAGTTTCTGATTCACTGAATTGGGAGTGGGGTTACAGAATTTGCAATTTTTGCAAGTTCCCATGTGATGCCAATGTTTCTAGTCTTGGGACACACTTTGAGAATCATTAGGTAGTTTCTGAAGTGGAATGATACTGTAGTTTTAAAAGACTGAAATTAGCCTCATTGAGATGATGACTTGAGTGAAGACCTAAAGCCAGTGAGGTGGTCATGTGAGTTATCTAGATGGAGAGCTGCCTAGAGCCTGCCTGGCATGTTTAAGGACAGCAAGGAAATCAGTGAAGCTGGATGGAGTGAGTGAAGAAGAGGAGGTGAGGTTAGAGAGGCACAGGAGTCTGCATTGTATAGGGCTTTGTAGGCCATCCGGAGGGTTTTGAGAGTCTTTGACATAGGTGTTATTTAAAGACTTAAGAGTGGATGAGATTGTCAAAGGAAGAGTGAGGCAATTGCATGATTCCAGAACTAGGATGGTGGGGTCACCAACTGATACACTGGGAAATGGAAAGCTTGGATGACTCTTAAGAGACATTTTGAAGCACAGCTTAGAACTTAGTGACAGCACAAAGGGAATGAGAGAAAAAAGTCAAAAGTGATACCTTGACCTCAGTTTTATAACGGAAAGAATAGTTGAAAATGGAAAAAGCCAGGGAAAGCAGGAAGAGTAATTGGGAAGAGGCTTTGGCATTTTTGAAAAGTAGTAACAGTTCTGTTTATCTTATTGGCTTATGAAAATGATTAAGAAAATTCAAATATGACCTGTAATTCACTTTTTCTCACAATGTTCAGTGAACTATTTACATTCTGGCATTCTAAAATTATTCAAAACTATTATTTTTTTAAATAGGAAAATGGACGCTGTATAACTAAACTGGAAAACATGGGGTTTCGAGTGGGACAAGGATTGATAGAAAGGTGAGCAGTATGGATTTGAAAATTTTCTTCCAGGTAGGTTATGAACAAAGATGATCCATTTCAAAAGATTGCATAAAACTTGAGATACTTTCATTTTAATTCCTAAATTTTATTTATTCTCTGTTCTTTACTCACAGATTGAAATTTCTTTTTAGGTCTGATGCTATTTTAACTCAGTTATCCAACTTTCATGTTTCAAAATTTGAAGAAAATAAGTATTTGTTTAAAATTTTTTCCTGAAAACTTTGATGTGCTGAAACAACTATCTAAAATCTTATTGAATTTTCTACTTAAGCTCTAGTAGGTTCTTTATCCTAAATGGAATATGGTTTAAATGCGTACCCTAGAGTCTGTTTATGCATGTGATCATCTTCAAACTTACAGATCAATTTCTTTTAGTATTCCTTTCTCACTATCTGAAATAACTGAACTCTGTTATATTTTCCTGATCTTCCCTCATGGCTCAGGTGGTAAAGAATCCACCTGCAATGCAGGAGATCTGGATTTGATCCCTGGATTGGGAAGATCCCCTGGAGAAGGAAATGGCAACCCACTCCAGTGTTCCTGCCTGGAATATCCCATGGACAGAGGAGCATGGCAGCCTACACCATGAATCACAAGGAGTCGGACACAACTGAGCGACCTCTCTCATATTTTATATAACAGTACCATGATCATGCTCAGCTTTTTTTTAAAAAAATGTGTCAGCTGTACCTAAAATTGCTTACTGTTAAGACAAATTTTAGCCCCATCATTATATAACAGCATGTGAATTCACTGAAATGGGAACTCTGTTGCTTGGTGCTTATCACTTTATGACTGTCAGTAAATGTTCAGTGCTATTGTGGCATTTGGAAATTAGTGAATAATTTGCCCCTCCTTTCTCTGGATGAAAAGTACTGTATTACTTCTAGTTGATCTTTTTAGGTTTACAAAAGATACTGCAAGGTTCAAGGATGAGTTAGATATCATGAAGTTCATTTGTAAAGATTTTTGGACTACAGTATTCAAGAAGCAAATCGACAATTTAAGGACAAATCATCAGGTATTTAGATAAATTAAGGCCTGTTTTTAAAAGTCCTTTATCTTAATATAAATGTCCTATTTTAGTGACTTACTTGTTATATAAAAGTTAATATCAGAAACTTAGGAATGTTTCTATGTTATTAATACATCATTACTTTTTTTGTCTAATAGGGTATAGTGAATAAAGACAAGGGCAGTTATCTGTAATGACAGCTGTCTCTTTCTCTCAATAAAATTTTAAGTTTTAAAAAGTAGCAAATATCAGAATGATAAGTTTTAGAGCTTGGTTCTTTCATTATCCTTACTTAGTGGTGGTAATATGCAGAACCACAGATATATCACATTTCTGTCTTTCAAATAATTCCTGAAGTCTCATTGTAATTCTTGCCTGTTCAGTTGCCATTGTATTTTTTATTCTTAAAATATTTTGTTAATATAAAAGTTAATAGGTTGCATGAAAGATTATGCAAAAATTGACTTATAAAATTTTAGGAGATATTTAGAATATATTTGGCATTTACTGAAGTATAAAAAATGAAAATAATGTTATCTCTTAGCTACCAGTAGAATTCATTTTTACAGATAACATCAGCCTTAACCTAAAAGTATTTGAAATGCTTATGTGAAAAAGTGACTGATTATTGGCTTTCTAGGTATGAGTTAATTAGATATAGCTACTAATTTCACCTAGAATGTATTTTTGATTCTTTCACACTAGACTGAATTCTTTAAGGATAGGAACTGTTTTATGTATCATTGTATCTTCAGTATCTTTAAAGCATTCAGTAATTATTAGTAATTATAAATGAACAGCTCTTCAACTTGAACACTGCAAAACTTCTTTGTATAAAGAAAATTTGACCAATGGAAGGGAAAGTTTTAATAACTTTTAAAAATTCTTAAATTGTTTTGAAGGGAAGAGTACAGATTACATTGACTTTGGATGTCTTTCTGTTTTTGGGACAGGGCATCTATGTACTTCAGGACAACAAATTTCGCCTGCTTACTCAAATGTCTGCAGGAAAACAATATTTAGAACATGCATCAAAGGTATTTAATGGAATAAAAGATTGGTTTTTTATTATGAAACAAGTAGAAATGTAGGGAAAAGTACAATGCTAATCACAGTAGACTTGAATTCAAAATGTTTTTAAATTGTTCCTTTTGCCTAAATACTTCAGTAGACTTGAATTCAAAATGTTTTTAAATTGTTCCTTTTGCCTAAATACTTCTCTATGAAATAGGAGAAAGACACTTATCATATTGAAATAGTATATATTAACTTGTAACTAAGTAGGCTTATGATGACCAATTCAAGAAACACTATAGTTTAAATGTTGTTAAAAATGTAGACTAATAAGATAGTACTCAAATATGGTATGGATACATCAGAAAAGATACTCAAGCTTAAAAAACTGGTATTAGCTATACAAAATTATTCAACTCAAAGTTCATATTTACAATCTCCATCAGTAAATTAAAAAATTTTTTAATATAGCTAATATTTGTTTCTAAGAATATGTCTTGTATTAAGTACATCTGCATTTCAGGATTTCATGTATTTTTTTTTCAGTCTCAAGTAGGAATCAATAAATAGGCCAGATGTATTACAGATTAAAATACATTGGGCAGTATGTTAAAGCTGCTTTTTATCTGTAAAATTTGTCCACACCTAAATTAATCTAACACAAAGGCAGTTTGGTGTAGTGGGAAGAGTATGAACTTGGGACCAAATAAATTTAGATTTTAAGCTAACTCCACAACTTATAGATCCCCTCTGGACCTTAGTTTCCTTATTAATAAAATTGATTGTAACAGTGTATTATAAACAATCTCTAAGTTCTTTCCCAGTTTATAATTTCATGATTCTATATCTAATTACCTATCAGTACCCATTTATGTATATTGAACAAGTCAAGATTCTTGGTTGTAAAATGCAGAAACCAATTTTGATTGAATGGAATCATACTAGTTAGCTTACAGAATTGATGGGAAGGCTCAGAAAACAGGCAAGAACCATGGGAAGGGGAATCTCCTGGTGGTTTAGTAGTTAGGATTTGCTGTGGCCCAGGTTTAGTCTCTGGTCAGGGAACTGTGATCCCACAAGCCATGCAACATGGTGTGGCCAAAATTAAAGAGGAAAAAAAAGGCACCATGGGAAGTTAAAGCAGCCAGATCGCTGCACAAGGAGAGTCTAGTTAGAATCCTTCAGGCAGCACTGACAGTAGACACAAACCACCTCTGCTGTCTCTAGAACTAATTCTAACCTGTTTCCAGCTTTTTCTGTCACTCATTGTAGATTCAGGGTCATGGACTGGGCCAGTGAGTTGACTGAGCTTAAGTCATGTGTCCATGTTTTGTTGCCAAGGAGCTGGGAAATCTAATAATAATAATTTTTAATAATTTGAAAAATTATTACACAGCTTTTCCAAATAAGTGACTTATTTATTAACATCAAGGTTTAACTAAATGTCATATTTATCAATACCTTTACTGTCTTAGTAAATCCTTAATACTTTTTACACTTTTGTTCCTTTTAGTATTTAGCATTTACATGTGGCTTAATCAGAGGTGGCTTATCAAACTTGGGGATAAAAAGTATTGTAACAGCTGAAGTATCTTCAATGCCTGCCTGTAAGTTGACTTCATATTTCTTAACAAATGTTTTTAGCAGTTATTTATCAGGTCTGGTGTTCTTTTTGTTTCTTGTTTTTGTTACTTAGAGGACATTTAAAATGCTGAAACCATTTCATTTTACTTTTGTCAATTTTAACACTTAATGTAGTTATATGTAGCATACTTATATTTATAGTCAATGATTTTTAAATTCACAATAGACAATGATTTAAGAAAATGTGTTAAGGAAATTTAAATTTATAAGACAAAGGGTGACTCTTAATTTTTAAAGGAAAATTTTAAGAGAGCAAATTTCCTTATAATGTTGAAGATTTTAAAAAATTTTCTCAAACACATCTATTATATAAAGCTAGATAAAGCCAACTAGTCTTTTATCACTAAACTCCTTTTCAAAAACCTCTTCACCATAGCTACTAACCAAGAATAAAATTGGATTCAGCATCACTGTATTTCCTTTCTATTCATAGTAATTAGCAGTGAAATACCTAAAATATAGAAATCAGAGAAACAAAGGCATTCATTCACAAACCAGATAATAAAAATGAAATTGACTTTATCAAATAGTGTGAAGTGTGAAAAGTCATTTGATATAGCAAGTTTCTTGATTGAAACAACTTATTAAATAGAGCAGAAAACGGATGTTTAGACATGTTTACCTTTTACCTGAAGTCAAAATGATTTTCATGTTTTCCTTTTAGGTAAATTTCAAGTGATGATACAGAAGCTATAGAACCTACTGAAATGCAAGGCTTTACTAGTGTAAAGAGATAAATTATTCCTGTATAAAATATTTCAGAAGGCAGTGATTACATTGTTGGACATTTGTACTGTTATAAGCTATTTGCTAACTTGTATAATGAAAGATGCACACTTAAGCAGAGGAAGGTTGTATTTTATCAATTTAAGACAGACCTTAACATACACTTTACTAAAACTATTCAGAATGAAAACCTAATTTCAAGTAACTAAATACCAATGCAGGACCCTTATTTAAACATTTTTATTTGCTTAGAGTGATACATATTTAACCAGAAATGGAGAAGCAAAACTCAGGGTTTGGTAAATTAGCATAAAGAAAAGTATGCACCAATCAGAATCATTTGTGTAAAAATGAACAAATTTTGGTTTATGAATTTGTTATTAAAAAAGCAAATAGTACACTAAATTTTAAACTTTATTATCTTATTGCTTATAATTTATTTCTATTAAAGAGTTTTTATGCATGTATAAGGATTTCATTATATACATTGTGTGTTGTGTGAGATGTATCATATTTAACTACCTAAATTGCTTTAAAACTTTATTTTACTTTAATAGAATTCAGTTCTTGAAAGCTCCATTAATATAATAAAGTAAAATACAGATCTAGACAAAGTGGGATACAGATGTGAATTCAGGGACTCGAGCCGAAGAGTAACGCCTATTTGAGGAAGGAACTGTTCTACTTGCTGCTGTTGCAGTCCTGACTTTGCGTCTCTCTCCAATGTGGAAGCGCTGGTGGAGGTTCTAACATCTGTACTCCCCCTTAGTTTCAGTCTTCCCCAAGGGCAGAGGGGTGGATGCATCGCTAGTCACACCGGTATTCATGGGCCCATGAGCTTCTGTGGGTTGAGGCCAGTGTTCATCTAGTGTCTCTCTTGTCTCTTCTTTCGTATGATCATGAAAAGACAAGCATGGAGATGAAGGCTGTCATATTGAGGATAGCAGGTGCAGATAGAAAGCACCTGAATTGTGCTCCTGAATTAACCAATCCTGGAACTGCTATACCTTTGGACTTTTCTTTTATAATAAATTCCTTATATTGTTCAGTCTCCCTTTTGTGTATTTTGTTGTGTGTGTGTGCTCAGTTGTGTCTGACTCTTTGTGACCCCATGGACTGTAGCCTGCCAGGCTCCTCTGTCTATAGAATTCTCCAGGCAAGAATATTGGAGTTGAGTGCCATTTCCTTCTCCAGGAGATCTTCCCAATCCAGGGACTGAACCTGCATCTCTAGTGTTTCCTGCATTGGCAAGCAGATTCTTTACCATTAGTGCCACCACTTGTAGCCAAAAAATAGGCCTGTCTTGGTAGAGGTGAGGCAAAAGTTAGGTTATACAAGAAACAGTATGGGAATATTGAATTTTCTTTGTTCTATAGGGGGAGGGGAAGACAAAGGTTTACATTTAAAACAATAAAACCATAAAGTGCTAAAGACAATATGAGGTTTTATGATCTTGTAGTAGAGAGGGCCTTTTCAAGCTTGTAGAAAATCAAATAAAGCCAAATAGTAGAAAAATAGCATATCTTCAAGAAATGGTACTGGGAAAACTGAATACACATCCACATGCAAAAGAATGGAATTGGACCCTTATACCATACACAAAAATCTACTGAAACTGTGTTAAAGACTCAAGACCTGAAACTTTAACATTCCCAGAGGAAAACAGGAAAAGAGCTTTATAAAACTGGTCTTAGCAATGGTTTCTTGGATTTGACACTGAAAGCACTGGCAACAAAAGCAAAAATAGACAAGTGAGACTGTATCAAACCAAAAAGCTGCCCAGCAAAAGAAAGAACAGAGTGTCAAGTGGCCCTGTGGAATGCGGAAAATAGACGCAAACCATGTTCCCTGGTAAGTGGTTAATACCTAAAGTATACAGGGAACTAAACTAGCAAAAAAACCTCAAATAACCCAATTGGAAATGAACAGAGGACTGACACACATATTACTCCAAAAATACATACAAATGGCCAACAGGTATGTGAAAAGATGCTAAGTATCATTACTAATGCGGGAAATGCATATCAAAACCACCATTAGTTACTACCCCACACCAATTAGGATGGCCATTAAAAAAAACCCAAACCAGAAAATATGTGTTGGCAAGGATGTGAAGAAATTGGAACCCTCGTGCACTCTCAGTGGGAATGTTAAAATGATACAGCCACTGTGGAAGAGAGTATAGAGATTTCACAAAAATTTAAAACTAGAACCACTATATATTCCAGCAATCCCACTTGAGAGTATTTATTACAAATAATTTAAATCAGGATGTTGAAGAGTTATTTGCACTCCCATGTCCACTGCAGCATTGTTAACAATACCCAAGAAGTGGAACCAACCTAAATGTTTATTGTATGTATAAGGATTTTCACTATTTGACTATATTCATTGATGGCACTTGATTTGTACTGGCAAACAAGGAAATAATGTGCAGCCAGTAAAAAGGATGAAATAGAGCTGTATGTATTTGCTTACATGGAATGATGTTAATTGGTCTTAAGAGAGAAAGGTTTGTTTTTTTTACAGGATACCACACATGCAATATGTAAAATATAAATATACATGACTAAGAGTGTATCCAAAAGACTTGAAAGGTGTAAGTAAATTGTACAGTAGATTATTTTAAAGTAATCCCACAATGAAGATATTTTTATTTGGGTATCTTTCTGTACAACTTTATATTTTAATTATAGCCATCAACAGCCCTAAGTGAACTGTAAACTTGTGTTGAAGAGCAGATATATGTTTCAAAAGTAAATATACTGTATGAATGACAAACTATGAGGTAGCTTTATAAACTAGTTTTTATAAACTGTAGTCAGTGGCCCATACTAACCATGACGACAGTTCAACCCTTGTCTACTAGCCAAACCTCTGTAAGGAACTTAAGCCTGGAGATGTCATCAGAACCTGTCTTGGTCCATTTGGGCTGCTTTTCTACTATAGACTGCTATACTCATCTTTCTCAATTTCAAACACATTTTTATTATTTTTGTCCCCAGATGGTAAAACTGGTAACTTGAACCACTTTTCATCTACTTCAGCCTCTAATTGACTAATTCTGCTAAGAGATACAGATGAAATAATCTTATCTTAAAAAATGAATACAATAAAAGTACAAACAATTTAATGAATGCATAATGTCCTCCTGACCAAAAGAAGTAATCTTTATGTGAAAAAAAAAATAGGTGCAATCCAATTTATCTGGTCCATACCCCCACAGACCTGATTAAACTACTGTATGGTAGCTATTATTTTCAAAATAATTACCTCTAAATTCTGTATTTAAAATGTGTAATTTCTCAATGAACTTAAAAGATTTGTGTGTCAAAAAGTTGGAAAAATTTTCCTCTTCAATTTCTCATTAACATCAGAAGATACTTTCATTTGTTAAAGACTTGATAAACCCTTCAGCTATACTGATAGTCTGCCTAACTATATTTGTGGCTTAAAATACCTTGTTTCTACATTCCTGAAAAATATCCTTATGCCAAGTAAAGTTATTACAAAAATAAATTTTCAGTTAAATATTAGAGACCTACAGCTTGCTGGAAAACAGAGGTATAAGAGCATTAAAATAATTTCATATACCAATTTTCTGTACATGCAAAATTGCCTGTTTTGTTTCAAGTCCTCAGGAAAGTTAATTCTTCTGTTTGAATAGTGACCATAATTACATGCAGAGCCACTAGCCATGGAAAAGTTATACATTAGTTAACAACAATAACTGACACTTTATACCTTCACTATTAATAAGTCAGTCCCTAGCCTTACCCACTAAAGATCAAATAGCAAAGAATATGAGGCTATTACAAGGCTACTTGTGGTTATTGGTTGGAAATCTAAACTCTTCATGGTAGATACTGCTGGCTGCCTACTCCACAGCCCCTCTCCCCTCTTTTCTAACAACCATTTTTGGTAGGAGTGACAATGTGCTCACCAATAATTACATTTTCCAGCCTTCATTCTAAGTAGAAAATATAATTCTGGCAAATAATGTGTAAGTTGAGGATTTCTTGTAATACTTTTCTCCCCTGATATGACATCAAGAAGTGTGATACCTTTTTATCCTCCCTGGAATGTAGATTCAAAAAGATAAAACAACCATATCATGACCAAAAAGATGAAAACTATCCTCTAAGACTGATGAAAGAGAAATCTGTATGTAGCCTAGGATATTTAAGATATTGTTACAGCCAGCTGCTACACCAGCCCTGAATTTCTCAAACCAGAATTAATGAGAAAAAAAAAAATTCTTAACTTTTAAAACCTCAGTTAGGTCAAGTTTCAAAAGCAATATTTAACTGTTGGAATCTTATGATCTGCAATCCTACCCTTGGGAACTTCTGATCAAAGAAAGGAAAAAGTTATACATAAAGATACTTTCTATACTGGATTAGCACTGAAAACATTAAATATCCAACAATGAGAGGATGTTTAAATTCTGGTAAAACACAACTTAAGACTACTAGGCTACCATTTAAAACTCAGTTTTTTGATGGAATTCCCTGGTAGTCCAGTGGTTTGGACTCCTTGCTTTGATTGCTGAGGGCCTGGGGGTTCAATCCCTGGTTGGGGAACTAAGATCCCACAAGCCACTGGGCGCGACCCCCCTCCCCGACTGCCAAAACCAACTTTTGGAAGACAACACGGTAGAAAAGATTAAAATACAAAATTACATCTGCTCCATTTATAACTAGTGGCAAAACTACTGGTTGCCCGATCCACGTTTATTCCCAATCCTCTTTTCCTTTTCCATTTCCCTTTAGAAAGACTGGAAAAGCTTACAATTTCATTTCTCATTCTTCTTGGAGCTAGAGGTAATGATTTTATACATTCAAGGCCAACAGATGAACACAAGTCTGCTGTGGATTTCTGGAGAAGGTTTTGCTTTTATGAGAAAAGGATCAGATGTGCGAGGCTCTGCCTCCTTCCCTCACTTTTCTGTCTTGAATACAGACACACTGCTCTGCACTGCAGTGGTCATCTTACCATAAGGGAAAAGCTAACAGACTTTCAGAGACCTTGGTAAAGTGGAGTCACTGAACCAATGCCAGTTCCTCTAGGTTTTTTGTTATATGAGAAAAATAAATCCCTATTTGAAAAACCATTGCTACTTGGATCTTCTGTCACTTAAAGTATGAAACACTCCTACCTGATATAGAAGTAGAAAAATTTTAAGTGATATGATAAAAGATGTGACAGAAAAATTAAGTGTTGACCTTTTATAGTATTACAGAAAATGATTTGTAAAGAAAAAACTGCATTTATGCAAGAAAACTTTAAAAAATAAAAGTACTGAGCGTAAAGAGAAAACATCAGACTAATTTTGTAGCTAACTATGAATACACATGTCATATAATCCAGATTATTTTAATTCTAATACTAAGGACATTAGTCTGCTGTCTTTTGTTTTGTTAAAAGAGTCAAACAAAATTTAGTAACCAAAACATATTTTCAATAAAATTTTATATGTGTATATGTAAATAACAAAACAGCACCAAAGACCTCTGTACAAGTTTACCATACAGGTTCTATGTAGGATGCTTCATCAATATCTTTTACTTTTGCTCTAAAAGCACGTGATTACAGAAAACAGCTTATTCATTAAAAACTGGGTAAGATCTTTCAAAGATACCTCAGATATTCAAAATAATACAACCTATCTTCTAAGATCAACCTGAGTTGCACAGGTTAAGTTGAAGACTCTTCACAGGGTGCTGAAAATGTGAGGCAATCTGCACTTGAACTGGCAGTGCATTTCCTCAGACTCAGGCTGTCTTCATCACAAGTATCTTCTATCTCTGAGAGATCAGCTACATCAAGATGGCTCATCTGCTAAGTCACGCTGGTCAAAATACCTGGTGAAAAAAGAATTTGCACAGCTAAGGAAAGCATAAAATGAAAAGGGAACCTATGAACTGGGAGAAAATATTTGCAAATGATGTGATCCATGAGGGTATAATTTCCAAAATAAAAAAACAACTCATGCAACCTAATAACAAAAAAACCCAATTAAAAAAGTGAGCAGAAAACCTATACAGACATTTCTCCAGAGAAAATATATAGCTGGCCAACAGGCACATGAAAGGTTACTCAACATCACTAATTTTTTGAGAAATGCAAATCAAAACTACAATGAGGTATCACCTCACGCCAATCAGAATGGCCATCATCAAATGATGGAAAGGGTATGGAGAAAAGGGAACTCTCCTACACTGTTGATGGGAATGGAAATTGGTGCAGCCACTATGGAAAAACAGTGTGGAGGTTCCTAAAAAAATTAAAAATAGAGTTACCATACGATCTAGCAATCCCACTCCTGGGCATATATCTGGAGAAAACTCTAAAAAGGTACATGTATATACATATATAAGGAACATCACTAAGCTATAAAAAATAATTAAATAATGCTATTTGCAGCAACATGGATGGACCTAAAGATTATCATATAAGGTGAAGTAGGTCAGACAAAGATAAATACCATATGATATCACTTTTATGTGGAATCTAAAAAATGATACAAATGAACAAAATGATACAAAACTGAAACAGACTCACAGGCACAGAAAACAAGTTTACGGTAACTGAAGGAGAAACTGAGGGGCAGGGCAGGGGAGATTGAATTAGGAGTTCTCAGTGAGCAGATACAAATTGCTACATACAAAATAAACAAGGTCCTACTGTACAGCATGGTGAACTATATTTAATATCTTATAATAAAACTATAATGGGAAAAAATCTGAAAAAGAATAATATATATATATATATATATGCATAACTGAATCACTTTGCCATGCACCAGAAACTAATACAACATTGTAAACCAACTATATTTCAATTTAAAAAAATTAAGGTGTATTTAAAAATGTAATTGCAGCATATCCAAAAAGATACATCTATATACATATATAAGGAATATTACTCAGCTATAAAAAATAATGTTTTTGTAATAGCAAAAGACTACAAACAACCCAAATATCCATCAATAAAGCGACTGGCTGAATAAACTACAGTACATCTATACAGTGAAAGATTACAAGGCTTTTATAAAAAAAGGAATGAGGAAAATATCTACACTGAAACCATGTAATTCCCAGGATTCATTAAGTGAAAAAACAAAGTACAGAATGGAAAGCTAAGTATGTTATGTTTTATAAGCATGTGTAGGGTATATATACATTTGCTTATATTTTTAAAAAAGAAACAGTGAATGGGAGGATAAATAAAAAATTAACAATAAAACAGATAACTACAAAAGGGAGAAAAGAGACTACAGAGGATAAAGGTGTATTCTAAAATGCTCCAATACAAATTAGGATTTTAACTTTGGAACAATGTAAATATTTTATGAAATTATAAAACAAGTTTAAGTAAAAATAAAATCACTAACCAGACTCCACTAAATGAATCTTCTCCTATACTATGTTGGTGGCATAAACCAAACAGGAGAATAATTCCAAGTAATCTTAAACATGATGTTCTGTATATGTAACTAGTAAGATACACCATGGACAAAAAGAACTGCAAAGAATTCTTAAAGGGACTTCAACAGTTTTACTACTGGTAATATTGTTAGTTTTGTTATTCTGAAACTACTATGTGAATATTGTAGGATAAAGCCAATAATTATTAAGAAAAATCAAGTAATCTTAAATTAGAACTGAAGTATCAACTTGGATCTATGATTTTATTTTTCTTTCTCTAAAAAATACATACTTCATAGCTCTGTTCAGTGAAAAGGCCTAAATGCAATGACCAACCCGAAAACATCTAGCTTCCCTAATGTTCAAATCATGGACTCTAGATACCACTTTCTACTTTGAAAGAGGAACCAGCACTCCCAGGAGAAAAGACTAATTCCAGATCTGGAGCCAGAAGTGCCCAAGATATAACTGAGTCATTCTGGCAGAGCAGAAAGTAAGAAAGCTATCAAAAGACCACTGAGGTTATAGACCAAAAAGCATAGGAACTGATTTGAAGGGCTCCCACTATCCAAAGATAGAACAATTTGAGCATCAAAAAGAAGACTGCTGTATCCCTTTACCTGAACGTGAAGATCAACCTCACACCACTCTATGAAAGACAACTAGACAGTATGCTTCCTGACGCGACACAAGAGCACACAGTCTTGTAAACAAACACACAAACACACACCATTATATATAATCAAACCTCTAGGCCTACCTACCAGTTTACAGAAAACATGCAGGATAAATGAACCATTAAACACCACCATGAAGTTGGCTGTCAAAACCAAAATACAGGAAATTTTACAAGTCAAAGGATCCATTTTTTTCAACAAATAAAATAGCAAAGAAAAAAACCAAAAGGGTTGATGGGGGTATGTAAGAGACATACCAGACAAATGCAATGAGTACATCCTACTTGGATCCTGGATTGAAATTCAAACATAAAAAAACATTCCTGGGACAATTAGGGAATATGAAACACAACTGGGCATCAGATGATACTGAGTTATCACTAAATTTACTGGTTATGAGAGTAATATTACAGTCATTTTTTTAAAAGCCCTTTATCAATCAGATACACTAAAACAGGAGAAATAATATGTCCAATATTTGTTTAAAATATATTTTTTTCATTTATTTTTATTAGTTGGAGGCTAATTACTTCACAACATTGCAGTGGCTTTTGTCATACATTGACATGAATCAGCCGTGGGGTTACATGTATTCCCCATCCCGATCCCCCCCATGTTTAAAATATTTTTATGTGTTTAAAAATCTCTATAATAAGGAGCATAAAAAATAATTATGATTGGTAAAATAATTAAGGTGGCTAACAGCTACTGGGGGGCTTCCCCGGTGGCTCAGTAGTAAAGAATCTGCCTGCAGTGCAGGAGACCGGGTTCGATCCCTGGGTTGGGAAGATGCCCTGGAGGAGGGTATGGCCACCCACTCCACTATTGTTGCCTAGAGAATCCCACAGACAGAGGAGCCTGGTAGGCTACAGTCTATAAGGTCACAAAGAGTCGGACACTATGCTGAAGCAACTATGCACACACAACAGTTACTGGGTCCTGTGTGAGTGGGATCCTACTCATCTGATAAAGTATTCCTATGAATTAGCAGCTATTGCCTTAAAGCTATCAAAAGAAAACCAACAACAAAAAACACAGAAGACTTATAACCATGTAAGTTGCTTACACTGAAGCAGTTAAAACAGAGTCAAGGCCTATGTTATATGGTTTTCAAACCTGCTGTAACCTATAGGTTTTCCTAAGTGAAGTCTATAGCCTCAGAAACTTCTGCCCTACCTTCTAAGGATTAAATGAGTTCCTATTTTGAAGCACTAAGAAAAATGCCTGGCACAACTGACCAGCAAGTATTAATTATTATCATTAGCATAATTATTATAGATCAAGAAACTAAATGCTGAATGTGTTTATATTTTGAAAAAGTATCTCGCTTGGCAATGGGAAAAATGAACACAGTTATTACTTACCATCCCAATATTTAAATATATTATAAAGCACTGAAAAGTTATTAGTGTTGGAATAAAAACACAGACCAATGAAAATAGCAAGTCAAGAAAGAGACCTAAAATAAATATGTATGTGTATGTATACACATATTCACATACAAGAATTTAGAAATATGAAGACATTTTCATGTAAATTCCAGGTGGAATTTTAATGTAAGAAATGAAATAAAAAATAAACTAAATAAAAATATGCCCCAACTGAAAATGAACAAAGGACACAAGCAATTAAAAAGAACTGCAATAAAATGAAACATATTCTATCCTTATGGATAACCACACAAAGCAAATAAAAATAATCTGCATCTTTTTATTACTACTAGAATGCAAATATTTACATCAACTGAAAACACTCAGTGTTGAATAGTAGATGGGCACTCTCACCAACATTTTAGTGGGAACCCAGAGTGGTATGATCTTTCTAGAAGGCAAATGCAATAAATATCTCAGTTTTACAAGTACAAGTTTACAATGTAAGCCCTTAAATTTATTTCCAGGAATTTGCCCTTAGGCAATAAGTAGAGCTGTACGTATAAGAATCTTCAATGCAGCATTATTTATAGAGAAAAACTAGAAATAAAGGGAATTGTGATACATATAATACTGTTTCCTTATGCCTCAACTTCCTCACTGTAAAATGGAAACAATACTTTCTACCACCATTAATAATGCTTTTATAAAGCGAAAAAGTGAAAATGAAGTCGCTCAGTCGTGTCTGACTCTTTGACCCCATGGACTGTATCCTACCAGACTCCTCCATCCATGGAATTTTCTAGGCAAGAGTACTGAAGTGGGTTGCCATTTTCCTCTCCAGGGGATCTTCCCAACCCAGGGATCAAACCCAGGTCTCCCACATTGCAGCTAGATGCTTTACCATCTGAGCCGCCAGGGAAGCTCACAAAGAAGTCAAGGATTACTTACCTGCTAACCAAGCAGATTAATAAATTCAAAGCAGGAACCCTTTCATCATCTTTGCTGTCCTAAAAAGTAAAAAGAAAAAAAGAAAGCTTGAAATGTAATCTGTTATCCCCTAACTTTTTCTTCTTCTTTTATTGTGGCCTCGCAGCATATGGGATCTTAGTTCCCTGATCAGAGATCAAACCCACGCTCCCTGTGGTGGAAGCAAAGTTTTGCTTCCACTGGATTGCCAGCAAAGCCCCAATCACCTATTATTTTTGAAGGAAGTTTCAAGGTGCAAAACATGAATGTTTTATTAGATGACAATAATAATCACATCGATATAGGAAACATCAAAGAAAACAGAGAAACTGTAGAGTTAATGATTCCTTGAGAAACATCTAAGATCTTTTAAAGAAAGCTCCTGAATAGGTCCTAGAAAGGAATAAGAGTTGAGGGTTCTAAGGAGGATAATTTGGGAGAGATACTTTTCCTGATTCCAAGTATAAGACTGAAAAAAGCCTGTGTCCTAACTGGACACTAATGGAAACAAAATATATAGACATATTTTAGAGAAAATATTTCAGATCAGAGTTCTCAATGATGAAGGAAGTTGCTCCTAAACTATACATTTCCTAAAATTCACTTTAAATATATAGTGAGTAATAAGTTACATTTTGCTCAGAGTGCAGGCCATTTAAATTAGTCTGTGCCATCTCATGGAAGTTTAATGAAAATATTTTGTAGTAGTCAGTGGAGAACAGTTATATATTTTGTGCAGGTGAAAGGAGGAATGAAAAAAAATCAGCTTAGTCTGGCATTGAATTAATTTACATCATAATGCTGCAGGCATGAGTTAGAGGAAGGGTCTAACTAGAAAAATTCAAAACCATTATCATGCCAGAGACTGCTAGCTGACCACTCTGGCTTCTTGATTCCCCTTATTATGTAGCAAATGAAGCTCATTTTCAGATGGGTACACTGTCACCCAACCAAAATAAACGTTTCCTATAGTTCTTTATGGTCATGTGACCAAATTCTGGCCAATAAGCTGTTTTGGCCAGATGTGCTTGTAAGAAGCTTTGGCAAGGCTCTTTAGAGGGAAGGACCTTCTCTTCTTCCCAGCTTCCTTTAGTGAAACATATTGGCGGAACCTGGATTATGAAGTGAGTTTGGGGAGGGAAACCACATGTGGCAGAACTCAAAGGCCTGGGTTACCGCCACCTTAGATCTAATCTGCCTACCTTCATACTCCCTTTAAGAAAAAACTTCCATTTTATTTAAGATAATGTTATTTTGGACTCTTCTATTATGCAGCTAAATCTAATCCTAACAACATAGTCCACGTATTGTTATTTCACTGAAGTCATTCTTTACCACCACAGAAGCTGCTGAGTACTTCCGATATGAAATAGTGAGTCTGAACTTACCACCAAAAGCCTCACTTCAGAGCACCTTCTTGCAAGCTGCCGAATCAGTGAATGAGCCTCCGGTAGTAAAGGTTTTTCAAGACAAGCCAATAAAGCATAAAGCCATCTTCCCTATACAGGATTTAAAAAAGTAGTAAGTAGGCAAACTACATGGTAAGTTTAATTTATAATTACTTAATTGTACCTCAGAAAGGCTGTATCAAGTTATATTCCACCAGCAGTACACATGACTGAGTTTATTTGGAGCAACACAGCGCTCCAGGGACTACTCAAGAGTATTAGAGCCAAGTTTAAATAGCAATCTGTGCAACACACTAAGTTAGCTCCTCAAGCAACCCCAAGTCAATGGCTTTTTTTTCCATTTTAAAAAAAAATGGTTTCGCTCTCTTCAAGCTTTATTTCAATGACTTTTTCTTGAACAAAAAGATTCACATCCAGGTTCCCCTCACAAAGAGTGAGTGGGATTCTCTTCTACGTGAAAAGAGAGGTATACATTTAAACCTGACCAGAAGCTTCAGGACGGCAAAGATTATATCTTATTTTGACTGGGAGCCTTGAAGCTTCAGATACTCTTTTTTGCAAGTATCCTCAATGATGAAAAATACTTGTTTTTAAAATCAAATCTAACTGAAAAGGATGATAAAATTTCTTATTAGGGGATTGATGGGCAATTCATTTACATAACATCTATCAAATTTACCCAATTTTGAAGGTGAAAAATTTTTAAGCTGTGAGTGTAACGCAATAAAATAGAAGGACAGTACAGTACAGTTGGTCAAAGTACAGCCAGACTGCCCCAGCATGAGTCTCAGTTCTGCCAGTTATAATCTGTGTGCCCTCAGGCAAGTTACTGAATCCCTATGAGCTCGTTTCCTCATCTGTAAAATGGAAATAACAGCTCATAGGTTACTGAAAGATTCAAGGAGTTATTATACATAAAATCCTTAGAATGAAGCCTGGCACATATATTTGCTATTATTCCTATTTCTGATATTCTTTAGTGGACTGGATTTCAAAACCATTTTACAAATGCATTTCAAACTTCTCTAAGCCAGGACTATTTGAAATGGGGTCTGCAGACTGGTAGCCATTCTGTTTGTTACTGATTTGTGAAAAGATAAGCAGCTTCTCCCAGGATATAAACCAACTATTTGGTTGATTTTTTTTTTCTCCCCAATGCAAGACTCTCAATGAAGGAAGTACTATGTTCATTAACATTCTATTGTAAGTTCCTTATTTTACTGCAAACAAGCATTGTCTGCATTATACACATAGATGAATAACACATACATATATATAAATAGTGTAGAGCCATAGCTTACATATAAGGTAAGTATATATAATTTTGTCTGCATTATGAAAAGAAAAAGATGCAATACTACCAATTCTGGAGTAAAGTCTCTTTCTCCAAACCAATTATTCAGATATTCCAAGACACTAGTAACTGTTGACTAAAAAAACGGGGAGGGGGAAGAGATGGGAGAACAGCATTAGTAATATAGCACTGACAAGTTCAAGCTGAGTTACATTAAGTTCAGTGAGAAAGCAGCTCTGCTTAAAATGGACTACTTCTTTAGACTTAAAGAGAAACCTTTGACTCTATTTAGTAATTTGATTAGATGGAACACTCAGTGAGATAAGGCTTTTTTGACAAATATTTTTACATATTTTCAATTATCAACACGGTTTAAATCCTAGGATTTAGTTAGTAACTACTAATTTAGTTCAGAACTATTTTCTAAAAATTCCACCTACTCTTAAAAAAAGGTCTTTGCATAAATACCTTCAGCTTATTTTCATTAAATCAAAGTACAAATAATCTAAAGACAAAGTTAGCTAGAGAAAGATTAATTTAAAAGCTATACAGATAGAATTTACCAAATTCTCTAGCTCATTCTAATCCAGATGGGACACTTACAAAATTCACTCTCATTGAATTTAGTATAATTATTAGAGAGTATCTTAATGTAAATGATCAAATAAGTAAAACTGTAGGCTAGTATATTATTTACAACAAAGTATGACCTGTTAAAAAATTTATCTTCCAAGGATAGCCAATATATGTGAATACAAAACAATCAAAGTTTTATTTGCTCTTTAAGAGGGTAACAGAGTTCCTAGTGCTGAGAGACTGAACAAATAAAATCCATATTGCTTCCCTTTTGACCTAAGAAATTCACATTTCATTCTTAATGAAGTGTGCACAACATCTGTAACTAGAAATAGCAAGCTAACCTTAGTAATTTTTTCAAACCCTATAATCTAAGACTTATAACTGAAACATAAGCGTATGAATAGTTTAGCACACAATAAAGAGCATGAGTTCTGAAGTGAGATCAGCCTGGGACTGAATTCCAGTGCTGCCAGTAATAGTTGCTAATAAACCACCTGCAAATGACTTCATCGCCACTGTTTCCTCATTTATTAAAAAAAAGGATATTAATAATAATTCCCCATATAAGGCTGTAGTGAGGATTAAATAAGAATTTTTAAAGAGTTTAGGACAGGGTCTTACATACTGTAAAAATTAAATAAATGTATTCAAATATCTTCACACACTGCAAACAGAAGAATGCATATATTCTCATTATTATTAGATATATTTTACCTGATTCATTCTGCTAACAATACTAAGCAAGGGAGGAAAACCAATCTGAAAGAAAAATGAGACTGAAGTTTACCAAGTGGTAAGTAAAGGCGGGGGGGGGGGGGGGGGGGGGGCTTCATTTTTTTAAATTGGTGAATTTCTCAACATGCTGTTTTATAAAAACAAAAAATAGATAAAAATTCCTTCATTATATATTACAATAAAACATTCCATGAACTATTATGCTAATAATGCCCAAGAAAACAATGTCTTGACATTTGAATACATAAATGTAAAAATACAGAATGATTTGAGTAATGAAGATATTAAAATAAAATGTAATTAAAAACATAGTATGATATTAATAACTTGTGCACACTCTTTCAAAAATCTTAGCTAAAGCAAACATTTTGGGGAAGTAAGGGTACTTGAATGAGTTCTTTCAAACCTAATCTGCTTTAAATAAAAAAAATTACTTTGCACTTTAATGTTGGGAGCTTTGATTATGAAAACAGTACTGACTTATGAGAAACTTAAGTGGACACGAATTAAAGTATATTTTGCAATAACAAACTGAGTAAATATACATTCTTTGCCAAATTAAAAAATTTTGAAAAGTAACATACATTAGGGATATAATCCAATAGACGAAATGCTGTATAAGAAACAGCATCAAACTAGCTCTGAGAACTCAATCTGTCTATACTCTCACCACCATGCATTAAGAGTGCCTGTTTTCCCAGCCCTTATTAAGAGTGTGTCAAACTTGCTTTACCAATGTTAACTGAAAAATGTCAGCTCAATGGAGCTGTAAGTCATGTTTTCATTTTAAGTGAGTTTGGGCATCTTCTCATAAACGAACAATTTGCATTTCCTTCCTGTGAAATGTCTCTTTACATCCTTTGCTTGGTTTTTTTTTTTTTTTTCAATTGGGGTCTTGGTCTTTTTTAGTGATTTTCAGAGCTTTTACATTTAGGGGATAAACTAATTTTAAAAGAGAAAAACAAAACATGGCACCAAAGAGAAAACAATAAATACGTATTCAACAGAACAGACAACATGGTATAGGGAGTTACCAGTAATGCAGATGTATGAACATCTGCAAGCTTGGGGGCAGGTGAATCCTGAAGGACAAAAAGCGGCTGGCCACATAATTTATTATTAAAGTCATATGAAACATAAATAATCTTTATATTTATAAAATATAAATTAGATATAGCCTCAACATTTCACCGCCAGAATATGCAACTTATTAAGCATTTTTAAGCACCTGAGTCATGTTTTCGTTTCTCTGACTACTCAGAACTCATTGTCTGACCCTTGCCTAATCATTAAAAAAAAAGTCCTATCTAGCTCAAAAAATTATTAAACAGCAAAAGCACACACTGTTTTAGAAAACAGGCTGATCTAAATCAGTCATATATTATTTGCTTTTTAAAATTTTTTTATAACCTTGGAAAACAAAAAAGCTATTATGTTTCTATGTTTAGCAAATGAGCTTATAAAAACAGTCAGGAGACTTGATTTGGCCTAAGCTGTATTCTGCTAAGTCTCTATACTAAATCTTGCACCAAAACTATGACCTGTTTTTTGTGTGTTTAGTCACAGTATCACTTACTTGTACATAATCGATTCCAGGACTTTCACTTGCAGCTGGTCCAATAGCACCTTCAGCACATAACCTTTCACCTAGACAAAATTTTTTCCAGCCTTCTTCATCTTCAAATTTTGGCTAAAAGAAAAAAAAAAAAAAAAGAATTTACTTACGTATTTTCTTTAATACTGAACAATGAAAAAACAAGTGAGGATTCCTTCATATTCCCACCACCTCACACAAACATATAATGCTTGTAACAGAGTGAACTGTGTCCTCTCAAAATGCGTATGTTGAAACCCTCACCTCCAGCATCTGACAGTTAGAAGACTGAGTCTTTACAGCAGTGATTTAAGTTAAAATGAGGTGGGTAGAGTGGGTCCTAATCCAATCTGACTGACATCCTTGTTAGAAGAGGAAATTTGGATAAAAAGACATGAGGGATGCGTATGCACACAGAAGGCCATGTGAGGACACAGCTAGAAGATGGCCATCTGCAAGCCAGAGAGAAAGAGTGGCCTTTAGAGAAACCTACTGAAACCTTGATCTTAGCCCTCTAACCCACAAAGCTGTAAGAAAATACATTACTGTTCGTTAAGCCACTCCATCTGTGGTGGTTTGTTACAGCAGTCCTAGAAAACCAATACAGGACCCAAGTGGTCACACCATATGTGGGACATTTTTAGTCTGGATCATACTTTAGTGAACACTGACAAGCAAGTATGTGCTCAAAAGAGGGTGATAAAGACGTAAAATTGATATTAAAAAAAATACACTAAGAATGCTTACAAGAATGAAGCCTATTTATCCCAAGGAAGGAGAGATAATTACATACTTCACATAAAAGGCTGTCCAATCAAAGAAGGAATAGATTTACACTGTCAGGAAAAAAGCATGACCTTTCAGCTCAATCTTAACAGAACAACGTAAAATTTTTTAAAAATTATTTATTTATTTATAGTTGATTTATAATATTGAGTTAGTTTCAGGTGTATAGCAAAGTGATTCAGTTAACAGAACAATTTTTATTTGGACACATCACCTCACAAATAATTTTACACACACATGCAGTTAGATTCTCAGAAGGAAAACAAAACCCCTAAAAGGTAAAAGCCTACTGTCCTGGAACAATGTTTTCCCATTACTCCACTAGGTCAGAGACTGTTTCTGCTTCAGGTAGCACTGAAAATCCTAATTATTACATATGGTTGGTGCTTAACAAATGATTAGATCAATCAATCAATCAATATTTCATATTTACATAGCTGCCTTCAGAGGTTGCTTTAAAAATTCACTTATTATTTACATGTTTCACATCTGCCACGATGAATATATGTTATTGCTATGTAATATTCCACTGTTTTGATGGAGGATCTTCATTTATTAAGTCGATTAATTATGTTTTCATTTCTTTTTTGACAAAATTATATCATCATCATGTTATTGATGCAGCTTCTTTTTGGATTATATAGGTACCCAAAAGTCCTTACCTTGAGCAAGGAAAAAATGTATCTACCTACCTACTTCCCTCTCCCTCTTCTTACCAGGAGGGCTCACCGTACAGTGAAAGGCTTTCGAATCAAAGTCTGGTCTGTATCTCAGCTATACTTATTTTATGAGTTAAATGATCTTGGGCAAGTGATGTTAGTGTCTTTCACACTTTTCCTAGAGCAGAGCTTCCAACTAGTATACAGGAGCATATATATAGAGAGGTTACACTGAATCTCTCAGTTTTCAGCTGGTAGTCTTAAGCCATGAAAGCAGCTTCCTCCATTTATCCCAAAGTGACATCATTTACAAGATGTTAGGAAGCACCGCCTAGAAGAAGCTTCTAAAATCTGAAATCTATGGGGAATTCCCTCGTGGGCCAATGGTTAGGACTCCGTGCTTACACTGCAGGAGGCATGGGTTTGATCCCTGGTCAGAGAATCAAGATCCCACGGGGAGCGCAGCATGGCCAAAAAAAACCCCTGAAATCTATGAACCACGTGAAACAACGAGCAAAATTATATGAATAGGTGCATTTTCCCCCCTCTGAAAATAAACAGCTTTCATTTGATTCTCCAGAAGAACATGAGACTCCCTAAGAGGTTAAAGAGCTTTCCTGGTTGCTCAGTGGTAAAGAATCGGCCTGCCAATGCAGGAGTGTCGGCTTCAATCCCTGGGTTGGAAAGAGACCCTGGGGAAGGAAATGGCAACCCACTCCAATATTCTTCCCTGGGAAATCCCATGGACAGAGGAGTCTGGTGGGCTACAGTCCATGGGGTTACAAACAGTCAGACACGATTGAGTGACAAACACTTTCACTTTTTCAATGGACATACAGACAGACATAGGGTACAGACTTGTGGACACAGTGTGGGAAGCAGAAGGTGGGACAACTTTGGAGAGCAGCATGGAACATATAAATCACCATGTAAAATAGACAGCCAGTAGAAATTTGCTGGATGAGATAAGGAACTCAAATCAGGTGCTCTGTGACAACCTAGAGGGGCTGGATGGGGTGGGAGGTGCAAATGAGGTTCAAGAGGGAGGAGGCGTATGTATACCATTCATGTTGATGTAGGGCAGAAACCAATACAATATTGTAAAACAGCTATCCCCCAATTAAAAATTTTAAAAAATTAGTCTAAGCTGATAAAACATGAAACAGTACTTTCCACTAAGCATAACAAACTTTACTAAAAAGTCAGTCACTGGTACTGGCACCATTACCTCATCAGGAAAATCCCAGGTACCTTTATTCAATCTTTTTGTAAATACTAAAAATGTTATTTACTTTCTTGAAAACCAAATGTCTAGAAGGACCTTTACAGACTTGTAGAGACTGATTCAAAGTCTCTCAAGATGTGGATTGAGGGTGTCATAAACATAACTTGCATTACTTGTTCTATCCTTTTCAGGCGAAAAGACAATGGAATTGTTACTATTAATAGTAGATGGGAGAGAACTAAAATAACATGGATTAAACAAGAGAATCTTTAAGAAATGAAATAAATACAGACTGTTTCAAATAGTTATACACTGTACGATCGAAAGAGAGAAACTTACATACCATGGTCACATTACTATCCAACTGTTGTGATTTCCAGTGACTTCTATGTCTGTTCACACTCTAAAGGAAAAGAAATCAGACAAATGATCTTCATAGAATGGATAACTCAAAAGCAATCAATTGCTGCACAACATTCTAACAATCTTAAAGCCTGGAAAATGTTTCAAATTGTTTTATGTTGAGTGATTATAATAGTGATTTGGTAACTGATTCATGAATATTCTTATCTTTATATATTTAGTAGCCCAATTTTTCCAACTACAGTCTAAGAACAGAAATAAATCTGAAGGAAGGCTTTAATTTGATTAAATGATAGAAGTACAAACCTACCTGCCGAACAGTTGAAAACTGAGCCACTTGCTGCTGTTGCCACTGAAGAGTAGGGGAGAATCCTTCCGGGGCAGGCTGGCATCCTGAAAGCTAGAGATCAGTTCATAAATTTCAGAATCAATGTTAAGTGTTACCACTAGAATCTCAAGCCTCTGCAAAGTGAAAGCAGAATCAAGAGGAAAAATGAGTAACAAAGCAAGTGAGACTACACAAGAAACCAAGTACTTTTTGCAGATGTAAAAAAGGAGGCAATTCATGTATGTTGAGTTTAAAACATCAGGAAAAGACCCTTACATAGTTGCTTTAGTAAAAGCAATCTGGAACAGTTTATAGCTGGAGTTTCTACAAAATCCAAATAGAAGACCTAAAGATATAACCCAGTACTACCTTTCTATAATAGCAAAACTGTTTGAAACAAAAAGACGTAATGCAAATAAAACATTCTGGTATGAGCAGAATGCAAATAATTCAAGACATTTGACTTTACATTTGAGTTTTTTCAAAACAGCACATAGGTCACAACTGATCACATGTTGCCTTGAAATAAAACTGAGTGTGGTCACATTTTAAAAGTCAGGTATACAAGGTATTATCTGTCATCAACGAAAAATTCCTATAAAGGAATTATATGAAACATTATAGTGTCTGAGTTAAAATCTCCTGATAATAAACATCAGATAAACAAATTACTTAGAACAAAAAAGGAAAAGGAACTGCGGTCATTTTAAAAATGCTGCTCTCAAAAAAAAAAAAAAAAAAAAATGCTGCTCTTCTTCCACCACAGGTTAAACAGCATCAAATGGCCCTTCTGTGGCTACTCCATCCAGATTAGTTCTCCCTGTTACTTACTGATCATTGTATGTTAACTTTCTTCACAGCAACAGACACAATATATAATTGTTTGCTTTTTAAATGTTTTCCTCAGGAGAAGCAAATTCTACAAGGGTAGGGACTTTTTCTGTCTCATCCTCTGTTGTATTCCCAGTGCCTGGAGCATACAGCTGCTTAGTTAAAAAAATGTGCTGGATAAATAAATGAATGAAAAGGTTCATAGTGGGCAAGTAGGTAGAAAAGTGTGACACTTGGGTTTCTGTTTTTAAAAAACAAAACCTAGTCAAATTCAAAACATACAAACTACTCTAAGGAAGATTAAACGCAAGCCCAATAATAATTATGAACTGGTAAAAGGTACCTTAAAAATAAAGGCTAGCATAAACAACCTATTTAAAGACTCCATGAAGATCGGATCATGCTCCTAAACTGTTATGAGCAAAACTCCACGAATGACAGGGTTACTGAAAGCCTCTCTAGAGGCAGTAAACGCCTGCTGTCCTTTTGGGGGGAAAAGTACAAGCAATTGTCTAACTTGAGCATACAGCAGTCAAATCTTACACTGTAACTGATCCTGTCTGATACTTTCTGACACTATAGGGTGAGCATCCGTCTTTTAATTTGCGGGGAGGAAAAAAAAAAAAAATCCCCTGACGCGTAATAACACTCACAGAAATATTCACACTTTGCGTCCTTTTCAACTTCTTTGGGTCAATTTGAGCTACCACAACATCTGGACATTGAGCTGCTTCGATCCTACAAACAAGTAATAAATGCAAAAACCGTTATTACTATTGTTCACCTGTATTATAACAAGCGATCCAACTTCTACAGTTCAATATAAAATTACAAAGTTCAGAATTGCAATTGAAGCTCTAAACAATAAATTTCTGAAATTATCTGGACTGAAAGCAATCTAAGAGCATGTATCTTGTCACGAGTAATCAGGTTTAATAAAATGAAGTTCACAGAAACTCCCTCACACAAAGATGTAATCAAGGGATTTTGTTCTGACCGAGTATAGGAAGGGAACAGAAGTGGGGTTTATCGCACTTTGGGGTCCAGCGGGGCACGGGTGCTGTGCCCAAGGGCGTAAGGACAACCGGCCCACCCGCACAGGGTCCAACACTCACTGGACCCGCCTCAGGTATTCCTGGGGAGTGCTCGGAGGTACGCTGGGATCGAAACTTTCCGTTAAGTCGCAGGGCTCCACCGGCAAAAGCCGTGGCATCAACTCCTCCACCGCAGACTCCGCAGGAACCCACGCCATAGTTTTCAATGACGAGCGTCCCACCCAGCGCATGCGCCAGAGCTGGGGTTACAGCGCAGACGCACATGGAGGCGCATTAGGCGCGGAGTTGAGCAAGATGCCGGCCTTAGGTGGCGTGACTGAGCATGAGCAAACCTGAAGCTTGTCCCAGAGTTTAAGGGTCCGGTGGTGTAGTGATGACTACGAACTTAGTTCCTTGTAGAAGTGGTTCTGAAGTTTTTTTCTGGGTTTTATTCTTATACCTTTCTAAGACCAAGGGTTATTAACTTTTATGCATCATTAGTATTGAGGGAACTTGTAAGTACTTTTTAAGTTAATGAGACGTTACTGTAACGATCATTTATTGACCTTTACATTCACATCACCTGCATTTTCTCATTTAATTTTTACTGTCTTTTAAAGTAAGTGGTATTATGCAAGGTTTGTGGGGAGGAAATCGACTGAAAGAGGGGTGTAACTTTCTTCTAAAGAAGACCCATTGGAAAAGACCCTGACGCTGGGAAAGATTGATAGCAGGAGGAGACGGAAGTGACAGATGATGAGATGGTTGGATGGCATCACCAACTCCATGGACATGAGTTTGAGCAAACTCTGGGAGATGGTCAATAGGGAAGCCTGGCGTGCTGCAGTCTATGGAATCGCAGAGTCAGACACCAATGAACAACAACAGAAGAGAAGAGCCAATTCCAATCCAGATTTATCTGATGCCAAATAAATGTAAAACTAGTTTCCCAGAGGAATTTCTTGTACTTGGCTGTGCCACAGATCAGTTTATATTTATCCAAAATGAATCTTGTTACTAGAGTAGCCATCCCTTTTTCTTTTTTAAGAAAGATTTCTTAAGTAGTGCAAAGAACAAAGTTAATGCCAACACCCAGAAGTTATCATTATTAATCTCAGGGGCAATCTTGTGAGGGGGTACTGTTATTTCTACTTTACAAGTGAGTGAACAAGGCAGAAATGGATTAAGTTAACTTATGCTAGGTCACAAGTTGAAAGAAACAATGAAAGTACTATGTTTCTTCTAAACAAAGTACTATGTCTTTTCTAAACAAGCTCTGAGTGAATACAATTGTTTTCTAAGGTCTATTTAATTTAAGGCTTTTTTGTTTGTTCTTAAATCAGTCTTTAGATTGCAAGCAATTTATTTTAAAACCAGAATGTAACTTTCTAAACTGGAGTAAAGTAAGGACAATCTTAGGTTAAGCGCTTAAGAATTGGTGCTTATAAATACTAACTAAACAATTGGGAGACATGAAAAGAAATTGCCTGGTTGCAAACTAAAAAGTTATTTGGTTAAAAAATCTTACTGATTTTAGAAGAAACGAACTTACAAAAGATGTGGAGAAACACTCCTGTCACCAAACATTTTGGTGATAATCAATAAATTAGAAATCATAATCTGTCATTTCTGGATTTTCTTACACATACTTTTTTCTTTGAAAACTAGCTTATTAGCAATTTACCCCCATTTTTCTGTAGAAAAGAATCTACTAGATCAACCACAAAGAGAACAATTTTTAATACTGGACTCCATATATAAGTGCATGGCAAAACTACACATGGATGAAGGAAACAAGGAGAGAGAGATAACAAATGTCCCAGGAAATAATAAGAAAACTTTTTCAAAAGAAGTGTGTAATAAAGGACATCAATAATTCTGAAATGGTTCTAAAATTTTAAATACACAGGTATGAATTCATTCAAGAGAGAGGAAATTAATTGAACATTTATAAGGGTTACTGTCTGCTCTTTAAAACTAATCTGGCTTAAAAGAATTGAGGAATGAATTTTGGAACACGTTTAATATGGTTATAAATAGGAAATTGCACCAATTATTTTTTTAAAGTCTTTATTGAATTTGTCACAATACTGCTGCTGTTTTATGTTGTGTTTTTTTTGGTCATGAGACATGTTAGCTTCCCGACCAGGGATAGAACCCACAGTCCCTGTATTGGAAGGTGAAATCTTAACCACTGGACCACCAGAGAAGTCCCCTGCACTAAGAATTTTTGAATGTTTTGATTGAGCTATGAGACAGTTGAGAAGAAACTATATTTTGTTGATGAAGTTATTCTGAAGAAAAGCTTTTTAGAAATCTGAACTTCTAAAACTATAACAACCATTTCTTCCTAGGAAGAACTATTTCTAAGATACTTAACTGCTTCTGAGGCCCTGTTTTTAAAGATTTCCAGTCACTTCTTACTTTACAGTGGAAAGATTTTTATGTTTCAATGTTTCTCACACTGGTTCTTGGCTGTGGGAGTAATATGAAGGTTGTGAGCACAGAATGTCTGTTTATTGATGACAGCAGCATCTGCTAAGTCAAACTTCCAGAACTAAATGAAAACTTTGTCCCTGTATTTTATGTCCTTTTAAGCAGCTCAGTTATTTTCAAGTATTAGGGTATACAAGAATTAACTGGAAGAAATTCTTTAAAATACAGACTCCTGGGTCCTATAACTCTCTCCTCCAAAGTTTCTGACTCTGTTTATTGGTTGTAGGACTCTGAAACTGAAATTTTTAGAAAGCATTCCAAGTGAGAAACATAGCTTAGTCCATCCATTTTATCTTTTCCTCCTTATTCTTTAAGATTTACTCCCCTAGAATTTGGGGCTCCCCAAGTGGTGTTAGTGGTAAAGAACTCACCTGGCAATGTAGGAGACATGAGAGACATGGCTTCGATCTCTGGCTTGGAGATCGCGCTCCTGAAGCACTGCGTGAGAAGCCAGTCCAGTCTTCTTGCCTGATAAATCCCATGGACAGAGGAGCCTGGCGGGCTACAGTCCATAGGTTCTCAAAGAGTCGGGCATGACTCAAACAACTTAGCACACACCCTAGAATTTTTCTGTGTTACCATACTTTGTCAGGTACTTTCTTTTCTCCTTGGCCACAGTCTGAAATTTCACTTGTCCCTTTATGCCATTAAACTTTAATAAATTCAGTCATCCAATTAACGTTTCAGTTCAGTTCAGTCGCTCAGTCGTGTGTGACTCTTTGCGACCCCATGAACCGCAGCATGCCAGGCCTCCCTGTCCATCACCAACTCTCAGAGTTTACCCAAACTCATGTCCATTGAGTCGGTGATGCCATCCAGCCATGTCATCCTCTGTCGTCCACTTCTCCTTCTGCCTGCAATCTTTCCGAATATCAGGGTCTTTTCAAATGAGTCAGCTCTTTCCATCAGGTGGCCAAAGTATTGGAGTTTCAGCTTCAACATCAGTCCTTCCAATGAACACTCAGGACTGATTTCCTTTAGGATGGACTTGTTGGATCTCCTTGCAGTCCAAGGGACTCTCGAGTCTTCTCCAACACCTCAGTTCAAAAGCATCAGTTCTTCTATGCTCAGCTTTCTTTATAGTCCAACTCTCACATGCATACGTGACTACTGGAAAAACCATAGCCTTGACTAGACGGACCTTTGTTGACCAAGTAATGTCTCTGCTTTTTAATATGCTGTCTAGGTTTATCAGTTTTCTATTATGTGTCGGACACTGTCATAGGCATTGGGATTTAGTAGGTGATGTGGGGACAGTGGAGGTTTGCTGTCAGGAAATGGGGACAATTTTGAGGAGGACAATTCTGAGGAGTCCTGTTCCTTGGTTAAATACCTACATGTGATTTTTTAGGCCTGACCATGTGTGCATGCTCAGTCGCTTCAGTCATGTCTGACTCTCTGCGACTCTATGGACTGTAGCCCGCCAGGCTCCTCTGTCCATGGGATTCTCCAGGCAAGAATACTGGAGTGAGTTGCCATGTCCTCCTCCAGGGGATCTTCCCGACCCAGAGATAGAGCCAGGCTAATTTCAGGTTCTCAGAAACTGCTTTTCTCTTTCTTTCGGCCATGTTTTATACAGATTATCATGATATATTGTTATTCTAAGCGGTAAGTACAATTATTATGTTTATTTTCAGATGAAGAAACTGGCTCAGAAAAGGTTATATAACATGCCCAGATCATACAACTAGGAAGTGGATGAAGGGGAGAGTCCATCTTGGGTAGTCAGATTAATGAACCATTGCTCAAAAAACTACTATGCTCCACGAGATACAGCTCATCACTTGTGAGAGCCTTTATGACCCACTGGCTGTAGATTAGAGAGAGGCAATTCTATTAGGTGCAAGGTCACAGCTAGTCTTAGGTCACACCCTTTGGGCATGAGCAGTCAGACTCTTTATCTCTGAGAATGCTGTTCTTAAGCTTTTGAATCCAGATCCAACAAAGCTGACTTGATGCCAGAAAATTGAGGCAAAGTCTAACTTAATTATAGAAACCCCAAACCCAAAACTTTACTCCCCTTTTAAAGTAAAAATACAAATCTAGCTCCTTCCTTTTAAAGTAGGAGTTCTCTTCTTTGCTACATGGTTTTAATAATTCTTATGTTCTTTGGAGTCGGACACGACTGAGTGACTTCACTTATGTTCTTAGGAAATCAAATAAACATTAGACAAAAAGAAAAGGAAAAAAACTTTAAAAAATATTTTTTAAAAATTTAAAAAATAACCATGTTCTGTTTCTTTAGCTATAACTGAGTTAAGAGCAGATCATACGATTTCATTTGTTTTGTTTGATTACATGTACTCTTAGTAATAATTATGGATTTGGTCAGAGTGGCAGAATGAAATGATACTGAAGTATAATACTGGTGGGGCACTCTGTGGAATAGAAACAATTGCTGTTTGAACAAGAGCTAGAACTTTTAATGCCAAGACTTGCCAACATTTAAAGAGGATATGACAGGCATGAAACTAGTACTAAGTGCTTTAGGTTTTAAATGGACATAAACACCCTGACCTTGGATATGCTACTTAAACTCTATTATCCTCACATTCATTTGTTATATACAGGGATTGGACTAACTGATCACTGAGATCTATGTGAGTTTAGAATTCTATAACTCTCATCCATCCTAAAGGAGATCAGTCCTGGGTGTTCATTGGAAGGACTGATGTTGAAGCTGAAACTCCAATACTTTTGGCCATGTGATACAAAGAGCTGG